GTCACTTTCAAAACAGGGAGCCTTGTCGGTTATTGTCGTCTTCGGTCTTCCGTGACACGCCACAATGTGTCAGAATACTACTTCGGTCACTGTTTTGCCCGCCGGTCTGCAATGGTTACGGCGTCTACCCACCGTGTGGCATATTCTGTCATCACCAGCAAGTATTGGTTGCTGCCAGCAGTCTGTGGAAACGGTCCCACCACAGATCACCGATTGCGGTTACTGGGATTGACTGTAATGTGTGTAACGATCGCTTTTCACTAGTTGGCACTGTTGGGGAGTTAACACGTACTGGGTTACATCGTCCCTCACGCCTGGCCAGTATGCACTGTGTCGTAGTAAACCCATCGTTCTTGCGATACCTGTATGCGCTACCTGATGACGTTTATGTATCATCTTACGCCGCCAGTCTTTCGGGACCACAGCCAACCAATTCTTGTAATCATCCTGCCAGACCATGGCCCCATATGTGTTCACCCTCAGTCTTTCCTTTTGCCGAAGCAACATTATTACCTCCTTGTCCACTGCTCGTTTGTCCACGTTTGCTCCCTCTTTTATCACTCTGATCACCTCTCGAAGTTTAGCGTCAGATTTTAGAGAAGACGTGATAATTGAGCGTCTACAAGACAAGGGATTAATAAGAAGTTCCTATACTTATGACTGCGGTTGTCAAATGACTGAAGTACGTTGTGCAGACTACCGTGATGAGGTTATATTTCGATGTTGTTTATGTTGGAGGAAGTTTGATAGGACAGGAAGTTTTTTCGCCCGATCACGACTGAGATTAAGACAAATTATGATGATTATTGCGAATCTGATAGTAAAAGCACCTGTCACACTAGCTGCAACGTTTGCCGATGTAACTGAGGCTTCAGCTGTTCAGTGGTACGAGTATTGTAGCAATATATGTGCAACAAACTGACAAGCTTACACCAGTCGTATGGGGGAGTAAGGAAAATCGTTTAAACACATGAAACAGTAGTAAGGAAACGATAGTTCAACCGAAGCCGTAGTATTAAAGAAGACTGGGTAAGTACCGCACCAAGAATTAAGTGTTATTCTACCCTTTCTGAATAGATAACGTAAAAATCCGTTCAAAAGATAGTATTTCGTTACTTTATAACACAAAGTGTTTCCAATTCTGGGAAAGCGCTTTAATTTACAATCGAAATGCACCATCCCAGTCAATTCAAGCAACACAACCAAGGGGGGGGACAATCAATACTGTTATACCCTAGCGAAGACATAAGTTCGGGTAACTCCCAGGACCTATGAATGGACGTTTATTCTATGCATATACCTATCGTATAACTATTCAGTGACTAGATTATCTATATTTATATTCATCTTATTATAAGCTTAATTTTGACCTATTTATTATTATTATACGATTTACTGTTCCTAAACTATACTCAGTTTATTGATTATTGTCTCCCACGCTCACAGCCACATTTGGCTTGATTTTGTACAAATATTATTTTCTATTTCATGGTGTGATGTGGACAATATGTGTGGCAATATGTGCGTGGTGCAATAATAAACTCAATCAACACTGCGTATTCATCTTCTGATTTATATACGGTGGGGGTGTTATCTAGCCACGATTATCAGGACGAATAATACACGGAGTTTATGCACTATGTCGAATACCGACCACCACAGATCATCAGGATAAGGTGCACACACACTTACATTCATCTAAGAACAGTAAAAATATACAGGCCAATAAATGACAGGGTAAAACATGGTTTGGAAAGAATGAAGAGACTGGCTCGTCCGGAAGTTAGAATAAACTATGTTGGCTCAACATAGCACATGACGTTACACTACCCTCCACAACGTCACGTATATGCAGTGTCCATAAAAACTACTATACAAAACCTCGCACACATAGTATAGAACCCAATTTAACAAGAAGTCGGAGATGAAGGGATACAAGGATTTATTTGAATAGTGGTCAATGTTTATTCAGTTTCAGCTGTCTGAACATACAGTGTTGTAATGAGAGGTGTTAAAAATCTGATACCAATACATGGTGTACTACGCGCTAATCACCCTATTGACTACTTGAACGAGAATAGGCGACAAAGTGTATTGAGGGGGGCATAATCTGACTCCAAATAAATCGTATGAATGATTGTTGTCAAAATATACATCCTGCCTATCCTCGTATGCAATAAATGACTGAATCCGCGTTGGCGAATGATGGAATTAAATAAATCAAATACCAAAATCGATTTCGAACACATACATTTTGTACACTCATTGATCTGGACAGTATCGCCTTCTGAATTCATAAAACGTTATCATTTATTTAATGTCGGTTATCAGGACGAAGATAATCTACTGCGGCACTCTGTGCGCTGAATTCATACCATTAAACATTGTTAAATCTGTTTTACGTTCTCTGTCCTTGTTCACTTCCCTGACTCCTTTGTGTATTGTGTTATACTACTTATCAATGATCAGTAACCAGTTAAGTTCATAATAATTTCTGCGCTTACGCTGTAGCGCAAGTTTGTCGTGTAATACTCTAAAATAATTACATATACTTATAACATTTATTGTATTTATCATTATAACCAGTTGCTCTTAATTCTTGTAATAGTTATTCACAATTTTGTATGGTTGTTTAATGCTTTTTTATATGTAGCGGTTTTCATATTGTTTGCCCTTGGTTCCGTTTTTTCCTTGTTGAAAATCTGTTACTGAGATTAGACACAGATATTCGCCGTCATTTGCACTATTGTATGTTGTAATTATTCTTAATGTTATTACTGCATAAAGCCTTTTCTATTTCAGGCTCACAGACGCACAAGGTGTCAGAGATACCTCACACGTTGAAGTTTGTAGCTAATTTATTTATATTACTCACTAAAGAACCGCTTTTGAGACAAATCCCTGTTTGTGAACTTAGACTTCGCATGTATCTCAATTATGTGGTCTAAACGCTTCGGTAGAATCACCAAACATGCCATCATTTTCTCCTGAAAATACAAACCTACCATGCTTTCTTTACAGCAGCGAAATGCATTTATATCAGTCGTTCATTTTAAAAGTTCACCTCAAACTGATCATAATAGACAAAATGAAAAATAAATCCACATATTTTCGTAAGTGTAGTTACTACTGTTATATTGAAGTTTACTAGCGAGCACAAAGGGTATGATTCTGACAATCAATTAGTATACAGATCGTTAAATATCTGTGATAGCCTTACGATACAGTCTAGATCATAGTGTAATACATTCTAGTAATATGTAATAATGATTTTATCTGTTCTTTTATATCAGTAGTAATGTGATTGAAAACGCTCAAAAGATAAAAATTTCAACCGAAATGAATATGAAAGCCATTGATTGATTAGTTTCTGGAAAACTTTTTGACCTATAAAATGGTGTAGGTACATTAAAATATTTCTAGGGGAATATTTATCAGTATTTTCTGACACTGTTAACATAAACCATGTTTGATTTGATAATATTTCTTCATCTCTCTTCTTTATTCCATTATTACTCCGTTTTTCAATTCTTTTCAAGTTAAAGAGAATTCAGCAAAAATTTTCTTTCCGATGAAATTATTTAATGAAGTTATATATTCGTATTTATAGTTGTATGGTGGCATAATAATCAGGGGGTTACAGAAGAATAGGAAGATAAAAGTCGTTTACGGGTCAGAATTATGAAAGATAATTGTCCACTTGACAGATATGAAGAAAAAGCGAAAAACATCAAGGTCATAATAATAACTGTATAGTAATCATGAAGGATACTAATAACTGATTAAGGTTTAAAATAAAAAAAACAATAATTAATATATGTAAGAGGTTGAACATATCGGGCTTGAACTGGTGGATCGTCAACGACACGGCAGTGCATATTTTTCTGGTTCGGCCTCCCTTCGATCCATTTCCTTTAATTCTTTAGATTATTTTGAAGGAAGACTCCCTTGGAGCGACGTGTCCAGAGTTGATTGGGTGCTTCTTTATTGAACTGGTTTTTGTTTTACATTCTCCCTCTAAAAGCCATACCGGGTAATGTTCTCAGATGCTATTGGAAAATAATAGCTTCCCGCAGCCAAAGTATCTTGCCCAACAGGAACAAGTGAACTTCTCGATGCACATCGATGTGGCCCAAAGAGGAAGTTTATCCTTAACACATCCGTAAATTGTAGGCTGGGTTGAGAAAACAATATAAAGCTTAGCTGAATTGAACATTTTATTCACATTGGAGGCAGAGGCGAACGATGGATTTCATTTTCTTGATATCCAGTTGAAAAGATGACCGGATGGTTCTTTACATATATATATATATATATATATATATATATATATATATATATATATATATACTCAGCGTACAAATTTCTATATTTGGGTCCCAGTGAGTAGAAAGAGAAACTTGATTAACTCTTTATCCTCAAGGATTAGGCGATTATGTTCTAATGCCATATTAGATAACGAACTACTTCAGCGTCGACAGATACTCATCGGAAATGGTTATCGACCTAGACTTGTCTATAGGACTAATATCGTGCATTCAATAATCTACTTTTCCGTAAGTAAATCTACTACAACATTGTTGAAATAGATATAAGTGTAAGGATGGCTCGTTGGTAAACTCTAGGAAGCTTCAAGAAGTTCAGAAAGAGCCGAAGACATTCCATTCAATCAATACTAGGGAAATATTCTAGAATGTCGACGTGTAACTTCCCTATTGGATGGGTAAGAATGACCCCCTATGTGCCTATTGGTTGACCGAAATGATGATTTACATTCAGCCAATAACTATAAATACATGAGATTTCTGTACTATATTTTGACACTGATTTTGGGAATAAACTTCCTACTTACTAGTCTTTTGTCTTCTTTTTGCGACGTTGAGGGTTCTATTGTTCAAGTAGCCTAGTAGTACGCGGCATAGTAAGAATCAAAGCTCTAGATATAACAATAAGTCTAAGCAATAGGATATAAATTAAGTTCTTGATTTTAAGAAAGCAGTGGCAGAAATATCAAAACTCTTGTGATTCCTATTTATGAGCAAAATAAAAAGTATCGGAACGAACAATAGAAAATGCATCTAACTTTGTAAATAAAAAAAGCACCAAGTTTATTATAATTTATGAATATACTGGTCTAATTACATTGCTATGAGATGGTATTGTCAGTTTTCCAGATTTCATTGACGTCAGGATACAGTTTAATACTTTTGCCTGTTGAAAACTAAAAGCTGCCTGAATTTCAGCTGTGTGTAATTTTGATGAAGGTTCGTTTTTAGTTTGTTCATTCATTTCAGTAGACTGTGTGGTTTCAGATGAACATTCAAACAATGTGTAACTCCATATTAATGAAAGATTGCCTAAATCCATTTTATTTTGCGCTTTATAATTACTTACCCTATAAAGAAATAAATGAATTCGTGATTGGTATAATAAATAAATATGAATAACTGTTAATCTTTGAAATATTATAAAAAGAGACCTGTTAGCGAAATGTATGACAAGTATACTTAGAATCGTATTGTTTTGTAGTCAATGATCGAATGTCGACAGTAATCAACTTATTTTGTTCAATGTTTGGGTTTATCATTATTATTTAGTAAAACCAGTGGTAAGTCATAGGATAAATAATACATTGTGACTCAAAGCATCAGTATTCATAAACCTAATTACAGCCATAAACATTAAATTGTTCATATGATAAGCAACTTTATGTAAAATTAAGCCAAGTTCGTAATAGATCCTCCTTGTTTATCGAGGATGTTTATAACACTTTAAATGTGAACAGTAACACAGTTCAAATACTTTGAGTAAAAAATCGTCAACTATTAAGACTGATATTTTTAAAAACATAAAGTTGGCTTAGAACTTTAGAGTAGCTTTAAACAACCGTTACCATTTATTGTCAACATTTGGGGATCTCTCAATGAACAACAAACAAGAACACGGTCATCTCTATAAAAGACCGCAATGAATAAAATGAAATAGTTCCTATTTCGTATATTGTATGCCTTTGTAAGAAATGTATGGCACTTACGTGACTAAATGATTGACCAAGTAATTGAATGTTTCCAGGTTTGTGGTGGGAAGATTGACAAGGATATCTTCAATGAGTTGATTACGAACGGATTCATCAGGAATTTCTAATTGTAAATTCATATGAGAGTAAAAATGAACCAATGAAAAGTCTCACAAAATTCTAGATAAAAATGTTAGTATCAAGTTAACTGAAATCCAATCCATGTCATGTGTGATACAGACATCCACTTCAGGCAATGGATGAAGGGTTGGGCAAGGTCGTGAATTAATTAAAGGTAGACACTAACACCGTCGATTGCCAGCTCAGTGGTCTAGAGGACAAGCGTTGGTGCACGAGACCAAAGTGTTCTAGTTTCGAAACTCGTACGCAGGATTGTAGATGCGGACTTTTTGAATTATCTCATATTAGAACGATACGACAGTCCAATGCTTCCAGATTCTTAAAGGTGGTCTAGTTAAGCATGACTCGTGATTTCAACTGCGAAAATACTGCAAACTGCACAAATCCCTATACTGTTAACTAAAATAATCAAAACTAACCACAAAAATTTGTTTATCACAACATTATGATTGTTATTTCGACCTTAGGAATCGTTCATGTTTATCAAATTTCAACAAAATGTCTACCTCATTCACGTTTTAATCTGTTAGGTTAATCCATAATGGTAAGTATACTTGTCGTATTGATAATTTACAACATTAACATTGTGATATATTAATGGTAACTAGCAATCAATTATAGAAAATGAAATTCGTTGTTCTCACTGTATTATAAAATATTACATTCAAGAATCTATTACTTGTAGCCTCATACTTTACAGGCTAATTTACCAACTAAGTGAATTTAGTATATATCAGAAGAGGAAATAAAAATTCCACAAGTGGATGTTACTTATTCTTCAGCGTGTGATTCCTGATAACTAAACATTTAAAATCTGGTCTTTGATGTGACTAGAAGTCAGGATAGAATTTTAAAGGAATCACTAATATTTATTGAGTTAGCAACTCATATGATAGGCGAAAATCCACAAATATCACTAAAACAAGTTCACAAGTCAAGTAAAAATGCTGGAAAAGGTCGATGAATTCCAAATATACAGATCAGTCTGACAAATGAACAAGAATATGTCGTAGTGACCTATGATAATGAGAATTACATCACGATTGTAGATGATCTGTTCGAATGAAATAATATTATCTCGCTAACTGTACAATATAAAAATCATGGTATCATTGAGTGTTTTGACTCGAGTTTTTGAAACCTATTAAAACTGTGTGGTTTTTCAGCATGAGTTCATAAAACCATACATCCTTTTTGATAGGATGTCTGAGGACAAACTATACGAAGATTTAAGCATTTTCAGGTGATACAATTCAATCAAAACACCTCAGTCTGATTCAGAATATATTTTCAGAATGTGAAGAGTAGAATTCAATAGAAAGCTCTTGGCGAAACAAACCTTCGAACAGAGATTTTATCTAGATGCTTTAAACAATTGACTATAAAATAAAAAATGTGCAGGCATTGAAAAGTATTAGAAAATTATCAGAAATTTGCTTCAATTGGAGTAAAATGGCCAAAATAAATTATACATAATAGTTTTATTATTTTATCACCTGAAGGTATAAATTTATGTAGTAGTATAAACTCACCAACTGCTTGAAGTAAAGCTATAGTAGTTGTGTGATCAATCAGACTCTCTGGTAAATGTTGAAAGAACTGCTTCAGTAAGCTAGTAATCACCGGTAATTCAACTAGGGGTAATCTTTGAATAGCTAAAGTGCAACCTGAAATGTAAATGAAATGCAATTGATAACTACAACATATTGGTCACATACCTTTCACATAATCGATTTTTTAACTCAATCCTGATACTATTTGTGTCTCAGTTTCGAAGAAATATTAAAATTAAACGTCATTGTATTTTTCACTACATCCAATCTCAGGATATTCATGTAGTACCTATTCATTATTACGTTATGAAATGTAACAAAAATTTATGAACCTAATCAGTATCTTAAGTACATAAGTAGCTGAAAAGTTCCCATTTCTACATTCAGTATAAACTTATTTATATTACCTAGAACAATAACGAAAACTTCTTGATTAAACTGTCCAGCTCAAAGAATACATACTATTCAAAGTAATCACTTTAGCTGTAAATCATTCTGTTCTTTCTTTTTTTAATCTGTATTTTCTTTCAGAAATCTTGCTAATAAAGGTTTGAATTATAGGGAGAATACTTTTGTGCAATACCACTTCGTGTACACTTCGTTGATTAAACAGAATTAAAAACTATATTGCTTTATATGCACTAATTATCTATTAATATGAGACAAGATTTACTAAAGATTGATATCAGTCCTTTCAAAACGTAAAATTTCAAATAAATTTCGATAGTGTAATAAGAAGACGAAGATGATCAAAACTATGTGATATATTAGCGCAATACATTTCGAACAATCTGATCACACATAATGTACTTGTTAAGAACATTTATATATAAAAATAAAAGGTCAACTAGATTAAAAAAACGGAGGGTTAAAGGAGACAAAGGATAATAAAAAAATAATATGAAGACAGTTTGAAACCTCATCACTCTGGATAATAAGCTAATATTACTAGGGTACGTTTAAAGTGAAAACAAACTGTTTTTGAATACACAAAGGGGGTTTGAATTTTCGTATGGCTAAGGCTTCAATAAACCTTAGTATACGCCCTTTTACACTTTAATGTTTCCATGCCTAATTAAAATTGTTCTAAATAGAAATCTCCAGGACATTTCCTTTATTTCTTTGATATAACATTTAAGATGTAAAAACTATGGAAATACATGATAATTTTTAGAAAATACAAGAACTGAAGGTAGAATTGACTAACATCTCTTGTAGAGTTAAAATGTAGTACTGACAAAAAAACACAAAATTGGATATCACTGCCTTTCTTTAAACTGATATATTTTTAAAATTTGAATTGTTCAGTATTCTGTCTATATTTGATCATTTTAACGAATCATCCTTATATAATTATCTAGACGGTTCCATATTTTCAATGATGTTATGAAAATCATTATTAATATAAAGTGTTTTACAATGTTCTCATGTTTCTGTAAAAATAAAATTTCTAAGTAAAGATAGAAAGTGGCTAGCAGTGAAATCTAGGGCGCGCGTTCCATCCTATTTGGGACTTGTCAGATTGATGTACAAACAAGTGGCCATTAGGACTCAGTAGCTAAGTAGATAACGTGATGGCATTTGAAGCGAACGGTACTGGGTTCGAGTCCCACTTACTTACTTACACCTGTTACCACTCGTCGAGAAGCATAGGCCGCTCACCAGCATTCTCCATCCAACTGTCCTGAGCCTTCCTTTCCAGTTCTTTCCAGTTTCCATTCATCCTTTCCATATCTGCTTCTATTTCCCGGCGTAATGTGTTGTTCGGCCTTCCTCTATCCTGCTTCCCTTCCGGATTCCAAGTTAAGGCTTGCCTCGCGATGCAGTTTGGTGATTTCTTTAATGTATGTTGAATCCACTTGCATCATCTTTTCCTAATTTCCTCTCCAGCTGGAAGCTGGTTTGTCCTCCTCCATAAAACGCTGTTGCTGATAGTATCCGGCCAATGGATGTTGAGTGTTTTGCGTAGACAACTGTTTATAAATACTTGTACCTTCTTGACGATGGATGTAGTAATTCTCCATATTTCAGCTCCGTACAGTAGGGCTGTCTTGACGTTCGTATTGAAGATTCTCACTTTGAAATTAGTTGACAGTTGTTTTGAGTTTCATATGTTCTTCAATTGTAGAAATGCTGCTCTTGCTTTGCCAATCCTCGCCTTTACATCTGCATCCGATCCTCCTTGTTTATCAACGATGCTCCCCAGGTACTTGAATGTTTCCACCTCTTCCAGAGTTTCGCCATATTGGACAGTTTGAAACTGAATTTTTTAAAATTTTACTTTTATTTAAAAACAGATTTATATTGAGGAAAGGTTAGTGTACATCACAGCTAATTAAACTTTACTTCATATTTTTATCGTTTCATTGTTATTCACTTGTACAAAATGGTGATTAAATCTATCCTACTTTGTTTTCAGCTGAAAATCACCATTCAGATATGTTATGTCTAAAGTTGATGGTTTGAAAAACATTTTGAGGACTTTGAAATGAACACATAAAATAAAAGTTTATGTCAACAAAGTAGCTTCGCTAAGCGTCGGTTCGAATCATCATCGTTATGTCTTATTGAGGTTTGATTACCCGTTATAAACAACAAAACAATCGCTTAAATTATCACTTAATAGTACTCTCATGAAATGATTCATGAAAAAGTAATTAAATAAAAGATATGAATATAAATGAGAGACAAGCTATGGAATTGTCATTAAGATTGCATATTCATCATTAAACAGAGATTTTAACAAACGAAAATATAAGGAACATTTCTTACTTTCATCAAATTCACTTTTTAAAGCCTTTATATTATCATTGGAACCACATACTCGGTAAATTCCAACTGCTAATAAACCTCGCCTTTCAATTTCTTCGACACATGCGATTACGAAACGGGGTATAAAAACTTCAGATTTATACTTTATTGTACACTCATCATTATTGATGTCGTTTGGAACCCTATAGAAATAAGACGGAATAGCATTGAAAATACACTAGATATACGTGACTTAAAAATTAGTTGATACATTTGTAACAATATAGTCTTTATGTATTGCATTCACTATAGCTACAAAATTAATCGACTAAATGGCTTCTGGGTAGCGCTTAATGTAATATTTGTTTAGGCCTTAATGCTGATCGAGTTCCGTAGATCAGGTCGTATTGTGGCATAAAATGCACGTGATTTGATATGGCGTACAGGATTTTTGACTTTAGACAGCTGGTGACAATAACTCCACCCGTAACTATTCTAGGGTTGTCATCGGTTCCAAGACCAGGCTAAGGAGCAGGGTTGGATATATAGTCAGCAACCTCATCTCGTAGAAAACAACCTTGTCAGAAAAGCACTAACCAGAATAAACAAATTTAACCATTTAAACTCTGTCCTTCGAGTTGGAGGAAGAAATATAATGCCTCATCGTGAAAGTTGAGATTCTTTGGAATTCAAGAGACCGATGACCCTTCTAACAACCAGAGCAATAACTAATATAGGTACAAGGAATGTTCGGACAGTGTTGGACACCAGGAGAGTTAATCAAATAGCTATGTAAATGAGGAGATACAACTTGACGGAGTTCGGGTTCAGTCAAACTCACTGGACCAAAGCTGAACAGAAAAGGATAGATTGAGCAGCGATGCTGCTGTATTCTGATCACGAAGAAGAAAATGCTCCACACAGTCAGGGAGTTGCTCTGATGCTGTGCAAAGAAGCACATGGAGCACGTGTGGATGGGAATCTCAAGGATCATCAAAGCATCTTTCAAAACAAAGAAGAAGGGGGTCACAATGAATGCTATGGACCAATAGATGATAGCAGCGACAGGAATAAAGATTAGTTTTATGAGAGGCTGAAATTGATAATAGCGAAGTGACCAGGAAAGGACTTGACAATCCAGATGGGAGACCTAAACATCAAAGTTTGAATGGACGACACTGAGTATGTAGATATGATGGGATGCGATGGACTGGGGACTGGGAGAATGGAATGAGAACGGTGATAGATTTGCAAATTTATGTGCGGCACAATATTCCCTTACAAACACATATTCAAGGATACATGTGTCTAACCATATCACACTACAGAGAGTTAGATCGATCATATTTGCATCAGTAAAAATTTCAGAAGGTCAAAGGAAGATGTGAGAACCTTGAGAGGAGCTGACATAGCTTTAGTTCACCACCTGCCTGGTGGTTGCTAAGATCAAATTGAAGCTAAAAAAACACTGAACAACTAGAGAAAAGTATTACAAAGTTTCAATACAACCGTCATTCAAGATACTGACAAACTCAACGAAATCAAGATAACTATCAACAACAGGTTCCAGGCCTTACAGGATCTACTGAAATAAGAGGAAACAACTGTGGAGGACAAATGAAAAAGAAACAAAAAATCACTAACTTCAACGTGTCAGGAGGTTCTGGGTCGCAACAAGCATCATCATAAAAATTGGATCTCTATGGAAATCCTGTCTTGGGTTAAAGAAAGGAAGATCAAGAAGACAGCAATCAACAACAGCTGAACAAAAGCATATTGTCTAACTGTTTTCAGCAGAAGCATAAATTATACGAAAACTTATCGAAAGTTTAGAAGCCCAATATAATTGTTTTACTCTAGTTAAATGTTTCAAAGTTGACCTCATCATTGCTGGGCGACTTTTGATTGTTTTCCGACTAACAATGTTCAAAAAATGTGGATAATAAAAGAATGTTAGTTGATGAAATCAAACAAGTTTATCAGAGTGCTCGAATAAATCAAAATGTTTGACAAACTAAAAATTTAAAAGTGTATGCACTTAAATCGATCGATTTACCTTACAAGCTCCGCTAGATGACGTCCGAATAGATTTCCACGTATTTCAGACCGTCGATTTTTATTAAGATTTACTTGATCAACGTATTCCAAAGATACAGAAAAGGTTAGCTGTGATATTTACAAAAAACATAGTACCGTTTGAGATATTTGTGAAAAATTTTAAAACACTTAAACAGCTAATACAAATAACATAAAGTAGGTGCTTAATTTAACGGATGTAGACTAATTAAGTCTGTGAAAGTCAATAGCAAAGTAACTATTTTAACAAGGATAAAAAGAATTATATCTTTCCACTGTCCGGATACTTATTTGCAGGTTGTCTTTGCCAGTCAGATTTGCAAATCAGCAACAACCCAAGTTTACAAAATGATATACGTCTACAGAGTTCATGATTTCTGTTAGTGTAAGTAGCTTGATGGCTCGTTAGTAGTTAGGTTTGAGAGATCAGCTGATAGACGAAAGATAACAAGCCTAAATCCTGATGTTATCTATATATTTCAAACTGAATTGTCATTTTGTTGTACTAACTTGGTATTTGTAGGTTGTTCATGGAATTTAAAAATAGTTCTGAAGTAGTGACTAGAACCTATCGTAAAATTACATTTCCAGTCAACCAACTGCTTTAAATTTCAGTTAAATAATTATATAATTAGTCATGTTTGTAAATGTATTTAAACAACAGAATTTGCATTATTTTGTTATGAATATTTGACTGAGAAAGTTCATTTTTAACAAATAAATTCGAAAGAATTCCTTTTAAAAGTAACATATCATTATTCTGGTGTGTGCTACTGATGTCGACAGATATAAGTAGTGTGCATCATCAGTCGAAAGTGAAATACCTGGCTATATAAGGTTAAGAAGATAAAAGAAAAGAGAACGAGAACATAGAATGACTGGTGCAGAAACGAAGGAACAATCAAGTCTGAGACGATTGATTGACATTTTGTAAATGAAGTATTTATTGTATGGTTCTCAGATTTTAATAAGACATTCTGTAATTTTGTTTTCACTTGTATGTTCTCGTTTACTACAGTTATAGATCCAACTGTTTCTTTTAAATATAAATAATCATATTTGATCATATTAATGTTTAGAATATCAATTGAGATTCTTCTTTTCAAATCAGTATATTATAAACAAAGATGGATAGTGACTAGCAGTAAAATGTAGGACGCGCGTTTCGTCCTGGATTCTACTGTTATCCACTATCCATCTTTGCTAATAATACTTGTGAATTAATGCAATATCAAGGCGATACGCACAGTATGCACATATACCAATAAAAGGCTGATCAATTACAGTCTTAAACATCAATCAGAAGATTCAAGTAAACAATACCAAGTGAAGTAAATTATAAACTTATCATAAATTGTATAAACTTACATCACGTGGAGGATTTTCGTTTGTTAATATATTCGCATCTATCTGTGAGTTATTTTTTAATGTTTCTAGATCTAACTAAAATATTAAAGAGAAATTAATAATGAATGTTATTGTAATTGGTTATTTATTTTACTTTATTTTTATATCAGGCTATATCAAGGCAATGAGCACAGTATGCACATATGCCAATTAGAGACTGACCAGTTGCAGTCCTAAACTATCAATGGGAAGATTTAAACAAACAATACTAATTGAAGTTCTAATAAGTTGAAAGAAAAAAATCGATAAACCAATTCTACCCATAACTAATTCTTTCCATTTGGAATATTATCTGACTAAAAGAATTAGTTCAGTATCTTTCCATTTAAACGAGTCAGAAAATCAAAAATATGTATAATCTATGGTTTATTTTACATTTAAGTAGTATAAGACTATGAACCATTTCATCATTCATCTAACACTTTACTTGATATTGTGGTGTAGGTTCTATAAGCCACTCTAAGTAAAGTCAACTTAATAAATACATTTATGAGCATTAAAATCAATGAATAGATTCATTCTTGAACACTTGATCAATTCTCCTTAACTACCTCTAACATAAAAGTATTTTTCATTTCTAATGGATTTTAAAATTTCCCATGTTGTGATTTAGAACAACATATATAAGCGAACAATACTGCTTTCGATTAGATCATCATCAGGCTTTACTCTAATATACAGTAATATTTATATGCAAATACGAAATTATTAAACCAATCAAGGCAGTTTATGAGTCAATGATAACAGTGGAATAGATTACATAACTAGAAATAATAAGTGAAAAGTACAAATTGGTAGTGTGATGACAGATGTACTAGTTATGATAAGAATAACAAAGGCTTTAATCACCGTTACATAATGGGAAATAGGTCAATGATTAGAAAAATATGGACACTGAAATTAAATTCATAAAAAAATTATAAGATTACGCGAATAAAGAAGTGTTCAGATAATTGGACCGTAAAACGTATATTTGAAAACATAAATCAATAATTGGTAGGAAAGGGTGAAGAAAAAAGTAAACGAAGAAAGAGTATGGGAAATAAAGGGCCAAGGGAAAGATAAGGGTGTTACAAATTCCTTATGAACACAAAGACTTGGGTTATTGACTCGAATTCCTATAACTTCTGCTCTGTGTAAGAGACCAGATCGAACCCCATAAAAAAATTATTAGGAATACGATAAATAACTTTAAATGACTTATTTCTGTCAACTATGTGACCGCTATCGATCAAGTGTGAAAGAACTAAGCTCCGTATTTTTAATGAACTACCTCAAAAGTATCATGAATCAAAAAGATATGCATAATATTGAATAATTTTAGTTACTATGTAGATTTTTTTAATAAATAAAAGAAAATATTTCATTGATTAGGAGATACTTACAAAAACTTCTAATTCTGCTAACATTTCTTGATGAATATATAATATAAAACATATTGTCCATGCACCATCCACTTCTAAATCAAATGACTATAAATAAATAGAATATTTATTAAAAAAAGTTATGTTTCTTTACAGTGATTTATAAAAATGAATACTCTTTAATCTCCAGCATCTTATATTTTAAGTTAATGAACTCGATCAGTCAAATGTTCTGGGAACAATGAAAATTAAGAAATAGTTTTGGTTGTTTCAAACTATAAGGATAGCAGGATTACTTTTTGTAAGAGATATAAATGAATGAAAACTGAAATTAATACAACACTGAAGAATTTCCGATTAATGAGCAGGGAGGTTTTGAGACTAAACCAAGATCTTTGTTGTATTATTACCTTGGATGGTTTTCTTAGACGTTCTAAGCTAAAATTCCATGTAGGTTGAGATAAGTTGATCATTTTAGAGATTTTAACAGTTTAAGGATAGTTTTAATGAGAGTTCTGATATTATGTTGAGTATTAGTAAAATTTTGAATACTTCAAAACAATTGTTTTATCTTATGTAGGGATAGTTAAAGTACAAATCGGCTAATATAGTCACTGCTTCATATAGTCTAAATTCCTTTACTTGGAACTTTGATAGTTAGCTGCAATTAATAATTATTTACGTGATTTAGTTTTATTCTTTTTGTTATTAAACAACAAGTATTAAAACGATGCTGTAATATTGTTTTACAAGTTTTAACTGAATAAACTCATTTAGCAATGAAAACTGAAAGGGTATTCTAGTCACTATTTAACGATCTTATATACACAATTTAGTTATTTTGATGTTGAGTTTCAACTTAGATATCTTACTAGCTGCATCACTAATTTATGAGTTGAACTTAGAGGCTTTAAAAATTTCAGGGAATGATATCATTTTTTAGCGATCTGGTTAGGATTAATTGATAAACAAGAATGAAATATCCATCTTCCGTTTCTGACATCAAGTAAACATAAGTGGACAAAAGTAACAATTCAATTAACTTTCAATGTCATTCTTTTGTAGGTTGTTACCTTTACAAACTTATCGATTTCATAATACAAATAGTAATCTTCTTTGTTATTTGTCATATTTGAAAATTAATAGGAACATTTTGATAAATAAACAAATTTGTAGTGGCTTAGTTTCAATTGTTTCTATCTAAACTTATTGGTAAACTTTAGTATTACTTCCCATTTTTTTATAGTTAGTTATCTTTTCATGCTTAACAATAGATAAATTAAGGAATATGAAGATTTAAAATGTTGTTACCTGTTCCCATCGTGGATTACTTTGTTGTAAAACACGTGTACAAGCTACTTCTTCATATTGACCATATGAATCAACTTCAATACGAACATGATAACCTGAAGTTTAAATCAAAATAAATTTCATATCAAAATCAGCTGAATTAAATATATTACTTTTGAAGATAATGAAATAAAATTTAGTATTAGAAAACCTTTATTTAAGCAAAGATTGAAACAGCCAGGTTTCGTATCACAAGAAGGGAAAAATAAAGGGTAGAGTGCTAGGATAAAATTAATCGAAAAGCATCATAACAGTAATGATGAGAACAAATGAATAAATGCTTTAGGAGCTATTTCCAGTATAATTGAAAAGAGAACATAAATGTTATAATGCACATATTTCTGGAATGAACGTTTAGACATCAACCCGACTGATTCCTCTCTGCTTGATGCTTTCCTGATTTAAGACTGGATTATTTTATTCCACAAATACTACATATTGTATATACTGTATGACAGGAAAGTACCTTGTATATTTTTATTAAATGAATGTAGCTAACTTCGAAGTTTCATTTCTTGTATACAACCTTCACCTTAAGTATTTTTAAGTTTAAATATCGATTACATCCTTAGATTTGTTTGTGTTAGTAAAGCTACATAGATTTTATCAGTTTAATTTGGTCAAAAAATGTACATAACTTCATTTAAACTGATATAAGTTATATACCTACTTCAGTTGGATTTTCATAGTTTGAATATGGAAGAAATGTCTGCACAATTTATGTGAAAATTTCACATTTCATAATATTAACCAACTAAGTTTTTGAAACTTTTCAGTCCCTTGCCTTGATTAATACTTAATGTAGTTAATTAGTTAACTCACAGTTCATGATGGGAAGATAATCCTATTGTGTTTATAATCTTAAAAGTTAACTGTCTTGTTAGTAGTGTAAACTATTACACTATACTATTATAGATACACATCTGAATATTTGTGCTCAGCTGGGTTAGGTCAATTTTATCAAACATTATGTACGGTATTTTAACACAATTCTTCTGTTGCCCTGTAGTTGAATGAAGACGGGCAAATGTTCCTGAAGTTATTTCCTAGCTAAAGTAATCAATTAATTGATATGTACTGCTTATTTTTTGTAAAGCAAATTTACAATCAATTAGTTAACTAAATAGGATCATTCAAAAGAGGTTTTATCACAGTATTTTGTGAAACGTGTTGAATTCCATAGTTAGTACTATCCACTGAGTTAAACAAATATTTGAACCTAGGGAGCACAAGACATCCATTTTATTCGTGCTAACTATAAAATAGTTAGGCTACATATGAAAGCGTATGTTGTTGAATTTGAAACTAAATCCCATTCTGAACATCGTTTACTTATAAACCTTTTATAGGGTATTAAAATATTCGATGTGTTCAATTACTTTCCAACAAATGTCTGAAATCTTCCTACACAAAATCATTATGAGAGTTAATTTGTTAGTTGTCATTAGAATTAAATTTGATGTGTTATTGACAACGGACATTTGTATTCTTAATTACAGATAAGAAATGAAAATAATTCAATGAAAAGGATTTTTATTTCTAATGATGTAATCTACTAAAACTGTGCAATAGTATTTACAGTTTATTAGTATACACAAGTATAGGATGAAATAAATAGATGTTTAGTCCTGTGGAAAATAATCGAAATGAATTTTATTTATGTTGACTAACTTTAAATACAAACTGAAGAAGAAATTTGAAAAAGATGATGAAGGTGGTTAGGAAATACATTGCAAAAGTCATCAGACTGTATCATGAAGCAAGAGTTAACTTGGATTCTTGAAGTGAAATAGAAAAGAGGAAGACCACAGAATACACTACGTCGAGGATATCCAAAGAATGAATACCAAATGAAAACAACCGCAAAGGATTTTTTAGGAAACAATTGAATGGAGAATTCTGGTGAGCAGCCTATTCTCCCCCATGAGTGGTAACAGGAATAAGTAAGTAAGTAAGTGAGTAGAATTAAATAAGACTGTATAGCTTTAGTAAACGATATCGTTGAATTGTTTTAAAGTTTTGTTATTAAATACTTCAGTAGATTGTTTTTGTTATTTCAATCTAAAATACAAGTCGAAATCTGAATAATTCATTTGTGAATAATCATTCTTGAACAACAGTAAATACACTAATCCCTACAAAAGTTAATCAATAGAAAGTTTATAAGGTATTAAAAACGAATTAGTGCTATAGATAATATTAAGAAATTATCACTGAATCTTACTATTCTTCTCATTTAATCCATCAATTCCATGTACTGTAGCTTTGATATAACCAGTTATCGGTTCATCTTCTATTGAATGATTTTTTCAAAAGAAAAGAAAAGAAAAAAAGTTTTCATCTTGGTTTTCTGCTGTGATCTAAAATCTTTTAGGAAAAAAACTAAAAATATTTAAGAAAAAAAAAGAAAAGAGAAGATTCTATTGTATATTGATTGAATTATCTTTCTTTTATAACAGCTGGTTAACGATAATGATTGTTATTATTATACAATTAGATTTTCTTTTTATAATTGATAGTAAGGAATAACTAATTTAATTTTCCTTTTTATAAAAATATTGTACATGATGCATTTTATCTTAGATAAAATATTATTGAAACACAATCGAATTATACTTTCATCATTTAAACATATGTTTTAAGTCATACTTTATTCTCTGAAGAAGCGGCCTACACTGAATGACGAAACGTCAGAAAATCTAATTTTTCTACTCATTGGGATATTTCAAATATATTATTTATTTATAGTTTAGGTCATTTGTTTAACTGATTATCACAAACTATTTATTTATACAACTAGAAGAAATTTATGTTTAATAGAAATAAACTGAAATCAATCATGTTATGAAAGAATTTGAAATATATGCAATGATATTTGTACATAAGTTACGTCTGAGTGACCTGAATATTTTAGAGTTGGGATCATGACTCAATTGAAGCTAGACCACCATGGAGAACCTGGAAGCACTGGATGGCCGTCTTGTCCTATTGTAGGATTCCTCAACAGTGCGCATCCACGATCCCGCCTCGCGAGATTCGAACCCAGGACCTATCAGTCTCGCGATCCAGCGCTTAACCTCTAGACCACTGAGCAGGCTGGGATCCAACGGTGTTGATGTCTAACTTCGACTAATCCACGAAATTGAGCGGCACATTCTTCATTGTCTTCAGTGAGTTACTATCTCATAACAGAACTCGTTGGACTAAACTGGTCACTGCTTCTCACTAGAACTCCAGGAAATATCTCTTGAAGTCAGTCACTAGTAAGCATATGATTATTATCAGAATGAACTTTTGCGGAGATTTCAGCTCACTGAAGACAATGGTGAGCGGTGGCTCAACTTCGTGTATTGATTGAAGTTAGATATTAACACCGTTGGATACCGGCCGGCTCAGTGGTTAAGCGCTCGAGCGCGAGACTGATAGGTCATGGGTCTGAATCTCGTGAGGCGGGATCGTGGATGCGCAGTGCTGAGGAGTCCCACATTAGGACGAGACGGCCATCCAGTGCTTCCAGGTTTTCCATAGTGATCTCGCTTCAATTGACTCATGAGTTCAACTATAAAATTACTGAAATCTCCACAAAAGCCCCTTCTGACCTGGATCCATTATGATTTTTTGTTATTTAATAGATGAGTTTCACTTGATTTGTAATGGTTTAGCTTCGTTAAGCAGTCATATTGATAACCGTTATTATATAAATCACAACGGTGTTTGAAACCAGAAGATAATAAGAAGTGGAGACTTTAGTTTATTATTGGACAGCACAGATAACAAAGTTACAAGTAAATCAAGCGAATTAGATCAGAGAGGATAATGTGGATGAACGAACGAACACAGAAACGGATTTATAGTCAAATCGAATCAAGGTGAAGAGAAGGAGGGCAAGACAGTTAATAAGATTCGAGTACATATATACATGGGGAGGAGAATGATTCATCGAGCGATATTTAAACGATTGACATTTAATGTAGTGTGAGGATTATGTACACAGGCTGTCACATGTGATCAGGCATACACGTTTTGTATAGAGAAGACAGTGATCATAATAGTACAAAGAAATATGCGAATTTCTACCTCTCAAATAATATTGTCGGTCAAGTTAATAAAAAAGGCTTAACAAAATTTACCCATAATCAAAATTGATTGTAGGAGAGTGTTATGACTTGACCTAGCTGTCGCCAATTTGTTATGTTTTTGACCTAGGGGGTAGCCAATTGTTATGACTTGATCAAGGTCGTCGCTGATTCGTTATGACCTTACGAATTTAACAAGGACGTAATCCGCATAAATTGTCCACCAATAGAATACGCCTTCTACGACCTTCACACTGTGACAATGACGTTCGATTAGTATGAGTAATCTAGCGTCCTTATTGGCCCTTATCCGCCTAACCGTCCACTTGAGTCCAAAACACCAATAGCAGCCTCGGCAATACGAATCGTTTATTTCAAGCATACTTTGTTTATATATCAGACAGATAGGCCACATCATACCATAAAACAGAAAATAATATTTGTACAAAACCAGGCCAAATGAGGCTGTAAGCGTGGGAGACAATAATCAATAAAACTGAGTATAACATAGGGACAGTAAATCATATAGTAATAATCAATAGGTCAAAATAAAGCTTAGATAATCTAGTTACCGAATAGTTATACAATAAGAATGATAGTCCAATAGTAGGTCCTGCAAGTTACCCGTACTTATGTCTTCGCTACCACATAACAGAGAGTTACTATGGTCTATTCATTTCTTGAGTGGATATTTTCAATGGCATGAAATTTACTGTTCTCATTAATGTTTTAGTTGATGCAAGAGTTTCTTTATTACCTGATCTTAATCAGTTTTAATTATTTTTTTGAAAACATGAAATTTTTTTCAAGCTAAATATGTAACTCGTATTATTCAACTGATCTATAATGTTTTTGTTTTCTCGAGCTATCTTGAAACTAATCCTGGTTAATCATTCATTAGAATACTTCGTATGATTTAACCTAGGCATCATGCTCTATGTAATCATTTTGGCGATGAATTCCATTTACAAATTCATAAGATGATCGAATTATGTAGATTATGCACCACAGTTTGTCAAGATTAAGAAATTCGGCTTATACCCTGGGTCGATAATATGTTATATAAAAACTTTTGAATTCTCCAAACACGGTTTTACATTTATTTTGATCCAAATAGAAGATTATCACTTAGGATAGTAAAATCATTGTCTAAATTTGAAATCTTAGGATCTGAAACTGCTCAACATCTTACTACAGATTTGGATAAGACAACTATTAGTTTTGTGAAAACTACTCATGATGAAATAATTTCTTTAAGTATAATTTGTGACTTTAGTCATGATTACACAAGTTTGTTAGAATTAACTATTTCAACAATGATTGTAGTTCATTTATCATTCTCAAATTCAAATTCTTGATGGAAATGTAATTTGTCTAGCAGAACATTATTTATATCACAAAGAAAGGTCATCTAAGGAATCATTGGGAGTCAAGAAGTACAGCTGATCAGTTTAGTGCTGATTTTGACTCTCCTAGCTGTCGACATGTGATTGGTTTCAAGATATTTGACTTTTGTGGTGACAACCATAATAATCTAGTGGTCCATTGTCTTTACAATACATTCAGTCTAGTTCCAGATGAGAGGAAAGGCACCTTCTTGGATTCCATTGTTACCACAATCCATCTGTCCTATTTAATTTAGATCTTTTGTGAAAAAAGACTTTAAGGTGAATGGAAAGTAACTGCTTAACTTACTGTCAATTATTGAGAGACCAACTCTGTTTAGTTTAACCATCTGATAAAGAAAGAAGAAAAAGCAAATCGCAAAACAATTTAACAAATACATTTCTTAATAATCATAAAAAACAATACTTTATTGATAGGAAAAGAAGGAATTCGATTACGGTAAGATCAGTTGTCGAATTCTCATACTAATTATTGAAATCTTCTCTACTTCGCTAATGCATTCTTACAGTTGAGTAAGGTAATAATAATAACTGAAGAAATATGAGAACAATATGAATTCTTACTAACTTCGAAGAAAGGAGTAAAATCGGTAATTTTATTTAGTTGACTTTATAATGACTTAAAGTTTGATTTTATGATAAAGCAGCTGATAGGATATGCATACCTATATAGAATTAAACGTCTACGATCAATTTAGATTGATTCACATTATGAAGACAGTTTTTATCATTCCTGAATATAATTTGAAATATAGTTGAAAACCAAGAGATGATTCATATTTATTTAGCTTTGAATTCTTAGTTTACTGTCAAGTTGAGTAGAGAGTACACAGTGATAAGGAGTCATAAACTAGTATTATTTGATTTTCGTTAAGATGTTAACAGATATCTGTCAGTAACAAATATTATTCTCATGTTAAGCAACACTCCATATTGCAGTTAGTTTATTACGTGTGTTATCAGATTTTCTGTGTGAAAACATGTCCGTGTTATGTGGCCAGGTTCTGTTTTCTCTGTATTGATTACTGGTCAAGTCAGTTGCTTTCCCAAGATTTACTTTACTAGTCCTTGTATTAAAAGTTGACAATCTACAGTTCGTTATTGTTACGAGGATTTACTTAAAATATACAATACTGGGATAATAAATTTTATGAAACTGTGTTCGTAATTATGTTGGATTAGTGAATTTCACAGTTTAGACCAGTTAAAAACTAATTATTGTGCTAACTGCGTACAAACAATCAGTTTTCAGATGTAACAACTGAGTCTCAACTAGATCAGTTTAATGCACTGAACGTATTAAATAGTAAGTTTGACTATAAAAGAAGAGAAAATTCTACCTAGTCTAACATGTTTTATCATATTTACAAAAATTATTTTCACAAAATATACAACAACGTGGGTTAAACAAAAATGGCTTGTCATCTTTTGAATACATCGTTACATTGACTTGACCTTTCTTATTACATTTTAATTAAGATGCATCATTGTATCTCAGGCAATTAACTATTTATTTTCGAAAATAATTATTTCGTTTTATTGAAACTGAGCAATCACCACGCAATTGTGCGATAATTCACTTTTTATCTTTCAGTTTCAAAATGTACATTTTTATTCTTAGCTATCCTTGCATGATACCTAGGTTTCCAGCTTCAAACAAAATAATTAACTGTTTTTTCAATTCTCAAAACTGCATTTAGGCTGTGTTGGAAATTGATTCTTTTCAAGTATTCTGAACTTTAAATTAAGTGTATGATACTCACTGTTACTTTGAATCTTTGGAACTCAACGAATACTATATCTTTATTCACATATGGCTAATACCCCATTCGGCTGCGATACTTATATAGACTGATTTAATAGGCAATATAATATAATCTGCTTTAAAAATACAATCAAAAGACCTTGTGAAACGACTTAATGAACACAATACTGAGGTCAAATCGAAAGAGAAATAGTTTGATGAAACAAATCAAAACGAACGAACATGTAAAGTAAACAGGTGGTCTTCCAGTAAATGGATACCTGATTAAAAAATATTTGTCGCTTTCCTAATTCCGTTCCTAACTAGGTGCTCGAAATTATAATCAAATTGTAAACGTTTATCAAATGTTTGATCATTATGATCAGAAAGTAGCTAAAAGTTTGTAGTGTAAACAATCAATGATTACATATATGCTAGTAAAATAGTTGTAAAAAGATGATATAGAGTTTACTATGATAACAAATCGGTATGAAGTACAAATTTATGTTGTTTATAAACATAATGGTCAGTTAAAATCTATGAATAGTCCTGTATTTCCATTGTATGATTAGGAGTAAGGTTATTTCGCTATTTAGAAAGCCGGATTAATAAATATTCTAAGAGTAACTGAGATGAATATGAAATACGCTTAGTATTGACCATGAGTAAGAATTATGATTTTATAGTGATTACTTAAATCCGCTTAATCCTTTATAAAACAGACCTATCGGATTGTGCATTATTAATAATTAATTAAACCATAAGTTTAAGCATAATTACAACTACCGAGTATCAGATGAATCAGCGGTTTTACCTGACGACTACCTATAACTCCTGATATCTCACTATAGTGTACGCGATGTTGAATCCTTTAGATTAGTAACGGCATTATATCTGGACCAATGGAATTCAACCAACACTAAAGGACTCGACAAACATAACATTGATTGCTACTTAGTGGTAAATCAGCGTAATTATCTTAAGTGTTCATAATCTAAGTTAAATTAATGTCTAAGGTCTAATAATTCCACAAATATTAGTCTTAATCAAATTAAGCGCTTAAGCACACCGGTGGGTAATTTGCAAAAGTTCAGCTGCTTTTATATCACTTCACCCATAAAGCCAGATATCAATGCTTTGTATTTAAATTTATTCCAAGTAAGTAAAGTGATATAAACGACTGAATGATTGTTGATCGAATGAAATATAATAGAATCTTCTAGAATACTCAATATTTTTAGAGATTTTTTAGTTATCCTGAAGTAGCTGTATAATGAACAAGAACACAGGCGGGACAGGTCTGAATAACCACAGGTAACTTAATACAAAATACAGAGTATGTTCATAAAATATAAGAACTATACACGGAATAGTTCATTTACAAATTCCCATCGTTTGCCCTTAACATTCTATATGATTCTACGAGTTCACAATTCCTTCCCATTTTCCCTTCTTTCCTCTTCAACTCGATTCTACTGAGCCACGTCACAGCTAGACGAAATGTTGAAATTCTTTAACTTTCAATTATCAAGTTTATTTGAAACATAATTTTTACATATAATGCCTTCTGTTTATTTGGTGATCAATTTCTATCAAACTATCTACTCCATCTAATATTCATATAAATTTATAGAGATCATAAAAGAAATTAAAAGGTGACCAAGTGCAAGAGTATAATAATCGAATTTCAAGATTTCTGTACATGATGTTCAGTATGAAACTGGAAGCTGGAACTGATTTGATAGTCATATTCTGTAGATTGGTAAATAGTAATGACTTTGGTTTAACCACAACATGACATTAGGTATGATACTAAAGCTCATCAGTTAACACGATATACTAAATATATATACTTCCACTTACAAACTTATTTGGTGTTTCATTGATATTTCTCTCTTTGACACTTTACTTTGATCGTATCCTATAATCTTTATCAATCCCTGATTTAAACATCTAGTCCCTTTTTACAGTTTGTAGTTTTATGTACATGATATATCACTTGTAACTTTCATTTCACTGTCGTGTTCACCACCTGATTAATGTGAATGAGTATAATATTAGTCTTAAATATACTATGTATTATCCTTAGCTTATATTTACATAATCAAGGAACTCACGTGTTTATATTTCTTCAGGCGTTCGCTAATGTCTCCAATCGAAGAACTACGGCTTCGCGATATTGAAGAAAAATAATCTGTACTTAGTTTTTCTGGAGTAGGGCGTCTTGCAGAATAAAATTTATCAGTAATTTGAGGGGGTTTATCTAACAGTTGTTCTAAAGCGGATCGCCAGTGCGTTCGTTCTCTCTCAGTTGAAAGAAGAATATTATGAATATGACCGCATTTGTCAGCGACTGGTAATATGAGTTGCGGTGTTTCCAATACAAGTTTACCTTCCTATAATAAAAGAAGAAAAAGCAATGTAGTGAAATGAATTACTGATCCTTTTGCGGTTAAATAAATACCAAAACTCTTTAATTGATTTATGTAAATCTAAACTGTCAGCACAAGGCAATAAAATTAAAAAAATATAGTATCATTTCGTATTTCACTATTTTTATCAAATTTCTAATCTCCAATAAATTTTACTATTGGAATGATAGTTGTACACATGAAATAGGTAATTAAAGTCTAATAAGTACGATTTTAAATCCAGAAACAATTTGAGAGTAACTACAAATGGAAACTATAAAAATATTTAGGTAAGATCTTGGATACGCGAAGTAATTCCTCGATGATGTTTTTAGCGAAATAAATTATTTTCTAGCTTCCATCAAAATGATACTATTTATACAGTCTCTTATTAGTGACCCTTTATCTGACCCCATTTGGATCGTTATTGTTATTGAAATATACATATGCATGTATAATCGTAGATTGAAATCGTGTTGGTGAATAACGGAATTAAATAAGTCGTATACGAGAATGAAGTTTTGAACACGTTTATTTCGTACAATCTTTGGTCTGCACAAACAATTGGGGAGACGGAGCGAAGGAAGCGAATAGGGGAGAGAGAGAAGCGAAACTAAATGACGCACAATGGAGAAGGCATGCGAGCCAACTCGATTTAATCAATCGTTAATCGATATTTATAGCCCAACAAAAATAAGTTACAGACGCGTGATGAATAGGGTAAAAAAAAAACACACATACGCTCATATAAAAACGGTCAAGGTTGATAAGCGATTGATCAAATGTCAAAATGTGATTGAACTAGAATGAATAAAATGGCCTGTATGAAAGCTAGAATAAGTTGTGTGCTTAACATAACAATCTACAATACATGTTTCACATCAGTGACAATTAATATATTGGGTAATTTAACATGAAAGACATCCTGTTCAGTGTCCAATTTGAATAGGTTATCTAAGGGAAATTGTCAGTAATTGGGAAAGCATCATAAATTATTCTTCAGTTAGTGTTTATTATTTATCTTAGATTCATAAAAGTAAATCAATAAACTTTGTAGATGTTGCAAAACAGCTAAGACACTGTTTTATGATGCCACAGTTCCTATTAAGTGACTTAATAGGCTGATAATTTTTTACGAGACTCTTTGCACACATACGATTGATCAAATAGATAATGTTTAGAAATCTCTACAGTGTATAACATTAGGGCACATATAAATGTTTTTGATTTTTTCGTATAAAAAAATACGATAGATCAACCTTTTCAATATTCCATGATACTTTCAATAGCCTGACTCGTCTAAGTTTCAATCTGAATGTTTTGTTTAAACTTTTAAATAGAAAATGCAGAAGAATTAGCGATTTGCTATGGAGAATTTCTTTAATTTCCAAGTGATTATACCATCAATTACTTTTGAAGGAAACTCTTTGATATAAGTTCACTCCCTTTATTCTTTTGGACAATTAGATTCCGAGTCTTTCAAACATCAACAGGGAAGTTAGAAGAAACAAATACGGAGAAAATACAACTCAAATGAAAACATTCTTAATAAAATATTCTCTTTGGCTTTAAATTATGAGCGGAGTATTGTATTATTCGTACGTTTGTAGTGGCTTAGATTCGAGATAATTTCCTTAAGCTCCGTTTATCAATCATCGTGATAACCGTTATTAAATAAATCCCAAAGGTGTATAAATTCAGAAGGTAATATGAAGCCCCGACTACAGTTTATTATTGAATAGCGCAGATGATAAAGTTATAAGCACATCAAACGAATTTGACCAGAAAGCCTAATGAGCGCGAGTAAGCGGATACAAGGTCAAATAGGATCTAAGCGAAACGATTAAAAAGATTCAAGCAAAAATATTTATGGGAAAGCGAATGATCCATCGAGTGATATTTAAGCAACGAACATTTAAGGTAAAGTGAAGAATATGTGCGTATGCTGTCTCATGTGACCAAGCTTATTTGTTCGTACAGACATGATAATAATTATACGAATTAATAGACAAATTGTTACCGTTCGAATAACACTGTCTGTTAAATAAGTTAGTAAGAGGGCTTGACAAAATTAACCGTAAACGATCGTAATTGTAGGAAAGGTGATATACATTTTTTAGTTAATCAAATGTATATTACTATACATATGAGTTATATAATCACAACCTGAAATTCATCTATTAAACTTTTATAACGAAATTTTTCGCTTCATGCGAAAGTCCTAATATACTCATACATTCAAATAGTCAGCTGATACAAGATAATTCAGTGATAAAATAGAAATCTGAAATTTTAATTGTCATTATTCACATAACGATCAACGTGTATTTCTAATAATTATCATCAGTAGAAAACATGCATTTCACAAAGTACTAAACTATTCTAAGTGTGGTGTGAACTACTTGTACGCACAGATAAAAATGGCCTGTACCAGGAATTGAAAGTAGGATTCTGACGGACACAAGTGAAAGAGAAACAGAAAGCAATCAAAGTAACGACAAGAATGAACGGACGTTGAAGTTTATAAGGGACAAATCAAAGAAAATAGACTAAATATTGTATATTTAGTGCATTATTTTCGTGTTTTACAAATACAATATGTAAGTTTGCATAATAGAATACATTGGTTTACTCTAAACAAGATTTTTTTTATTACATAAGCACAAATATAAGCGAAATCTACAGTTTATTATGCTTAAAAAGCTTCAGAAGTATTGGTGAAGCTATTGTTGGTTGTGAAAACGGTTTACAATTTAAAATGAAACTAAGAGATTACGATTATGTCAGCTGTTGTTCAACCATCTGAAAGATGACCATTTCATTCTAGAATAAATTCACTTTTGTAATGCGAAAGAAAACGCCAGGGTTATTCAGTACCTTTTTAATATATCTATGATTCAACGCAAAACCAACCTGGTGAAAATAAGTGATTATTCTTGACGAAACAACTTGCCTTTAATAGTGATTGATAAATTATTTAACTAAATAAACTTAACCCATTTTTCAGATAGAATATATTGAAAAATGGATCAACCACGTTTGACTTCATTAAGTACAATACCAACGAGTATTTTCCGAGGATATTATTATCAGAGTACTATTTCAAATGAATATTTGGAATTCTTACCATAGTCGGGTAATAAAATACAGATTACTAGTTTATTAGGTGATAAATTTGTTTGGCAAATGACATCAATCTTACATAATGATAAAAATTTCATGATTTCAACTAAATTCACCTAAAAACAGCATGACCTAGAATAGCTGTAGAAATTCGACGTTAAACGTTACTCACTCACTATTTCCAGTAAAAAATAATTAGATAAGTTATTGAAATCAGAAGGGGTTTTGTGGAGATTTCAGTATTTTCATAGTTGAAATCATGAGTCAATTGAAGCAAGACCACCATGGGAAACCTGGGAGCACTGGACCGTTAAGTGCTCTGGCGCGAGACTAGTAGGTCATGGGTTCGAATCTCGAGAGGTGGGATCGTGGATGCACACTGATGAAGAGTCCCACAATAGGAAGAAACGGCCGTCCAGTGCTTCCAGGTTTTCCATGTTGGTCTAGCTTCAATCCACTCATGATTTCAACTATGAAAGTTATTAAAAGTCAATAGAAATAATCTTTACTACTAAATTAATAAGAGAAAATAGTCCTAGTTTAACCAAACTTTTAATAAAGAAAACATTTAGCAATCAACTGTCCAAGAAAAAGTAATTAGTTTATTAGACAGTTTGTTCAATCAAAACACTGAATATGAAATGCATTAGTTATGTGATATTTGTTTGTAGATTGATCTATACGATATTGTCTATTCTATATTTTGCTCGCATAAATTCCTAATATTATTGATTAGAAATGAAAAAAGAGAGAAAATAAACTTATGATTAAAAGAAAAAACAACTTACTAATTTACTTAGACTGGTTAATTTAGATGTGTTCTTGGATGAATGTTTATCCTATCAACAAATAAAGGTAGATAATCATTAAGATATGATGATAAGTTTCATTGAATAACTTATTAATAATTTTCTTAAAACTTATTTTTTATTAGAATGTAGATGTTTCTAATTCATTCGGACAGCCTGCTTAAATATCTGGGATACCTGTTCTTGACATCTAGATATTTCAACAAGTTATCTGTTTCCTTGTTTGTTTTAAAAGATCATTACATCAATTAACTTAAGGAAATCACCAAACTGCATCCGAAAAGTGTGATTGGCTTGATACTCGTTGTGTTGTATTTGACGATCTTGATTTTTTCCTTTGTGTGTGTTGAGGCCTACTGATACAGAGGTTGTCACTACAATGGTTGTCTTCATTTACATTTGTTGATGTGTATGGGATAGAAGAGTTAAATGATCTGAGAAGTTCAAATCGTCAAGTTGTTTGCAAGCTGTCTATTGTATTCCGTGCTTACCCTCAGATGTGGAGGTCTTCATAATCCAGTCAATCACCAGAAGAAGAATGAGAAAGAGGGGGAGTAGGTAGCCTTGTCTGACACCGGTCCTCACTTGGAATGCGTCTGTTAGCTGTTCTAGATGCACCACTTCTCAGTGTAGTCCATCGTATGAATTTCAGATGATTTTGACGATCTTCTTAGTGTTGAAGAGACCTGCACCTATTATAGAAATATTTAAATCTTATATTAAATAACTGTGGAATTTGTGTACAAATGGTAAACCTTGGTTTTACGCTTAGTGATGGCTTTCAGCAAATTCAAAACTAGTCTTTTATAGTATGAAGCTTTCACAATGGGTTACAATACGTAACCATTGGATTCAACAGTACCACAATAAAGTATATTTAGACTGCTACTGAACTATTCAATGTCATTTTTTCCTAGTTTTCTAATAATCAATCTATATTCCTTACAAAATTAGTATAGCGACTCACCTCCGAACTACGACTCATTGTTTGGCGTAAATTACGAACCGTGCCTTTCAGTTCATCTAGATTTTTTTGGTTTTGGAGTCGACCTCGATCATCTAAAAATAAAGAGTACACAAAAATAAATTTTCATCGGATTATATGGACAAATGTTAGGTTTTCATTGCTTTATTTACCAAACGGTTATCCATCAACTACATTACAAGTACATGGTAATCCTGTAAGTTATGTCATTAACAAATACATGTAGCCTAGACACTATGGAAAACAGTGACGAAGAATGTTGAGACTTTTCAAGTTATAGCTAAAAATCTTTTTTTCAAAGTTGAAATCATCAGTCGAACGAAGAAATGACCTCTTACAATGTCTTGAACGATTTGATTAAATCAGTATTTTCTTTGAATAGAGGAAATTTGTACCTCAGCCAAAACACAACAATAGCTTGGAGTGCTATTTTGTTTAATTATTATTCATGGATTTTTCATCATCAAACTTAGATACTTAGATAACTTTAGGCGAAACTTTGATAAATCATCACAGAAGTATGATTGAATCTGAACAGGAAGGAAGGGGATGAAAATGTCATCTATTCAAGTAGTCTTATGTAAAGAAAACAGCTGCTTGTAGTTGTGATATGTTTGATGATATGGAGCATGATAAACCTTTTCTGTATTGCTATACACAAACATCGTAAATTCATGGATTAAAAAGCCAGGGAATATTGATTACTTTGTTGAAATTTTGAATGATACCGTCCTATATGTGGATGAATCATGTGTGTAGTTGCTCACATCAACACAAATTGTCACTTTTATTAAAAATTTTCATTATTTTGGTCAAGTAATGAATTGTTTATATATTTATATTTAACTAAAATGTTTGATTTAAATTAATTTGGAAGGAAAATGTCATAAGAACACAACCAATATTGATATTAATAGTATGCTTTAAATTAAAATTGCACACAAAAGTTTTCGTTACAAGATATGTTATTCAGTTGAATGGTACAAACTGACTATCTTATTTAGCGTCCTATTTAGAAGGTCAATCAAACCAATCATTAATGGTAAGTGTCAACACTGGATGAAGATCGATTTCAGTTGAAGGCAGATTGATAGATATGTTAATGAACATATAAACGTAAACAGATGCGAATTGTAATAAATATTTTTACTGATGCTAAAAGCGAATGATGACTTCAGTAATAATAATAAATGAAAATTAAACATAATTTCTTGAATGGATCAATGTTGGAACACCACTGAAAACCTGGAAGCTTTGCACGGCCTTTTCGTCCTAGTATGGGACTCGTCGGGACGAAACGGCTGTCCAGCACTTTCAGGTTTGCAATGGTGATCTAACATTGATTCATTAGTGGTATCAATCTAAACTCAACAATCTCCACAACCCTATACTGGTAATATCCTCTAGATTATTGAATTATTTTGATAACAATAATGCCTACTATTTAACGATTGTTAAGTCGAATTATTTGTTCCGGATCAAAAATCAACCGACTCTCTGTAATCTAGTTTACTGAATCATTGAACTTATTTTAATACCATATGAAATGCTACCAACAAACAAAAGACACACGGAGTAGGAGAAATTAATAGTCGTATATTAAATGACATGAAAAAATGAGATTAATTCATAATTAATTGTAATGCTATCGGGTCTTACCACTACCAACTCTTGAATTAGATAACAAACTCATTTCTTCCATTGGAATAAACCATTTTATTTCGAGTTCATAACTAGAAGCAGAAAGTTTTCCAGATCTCTTTCTCCGAAATCGCGATTCACCCATTGAAGAATTATCATGTAATATCCTTTGTCTTTTTTAGAGTGGGGAAAGGATGAAAGTAAACTGATTTTAATACTGAACATTAATTGTCTGTGGTGAATATTTAACAGGAGTTAAATTATACTTACTACTGGATGAATAAAATACAGTTTATTACTCAAGTTGCCAAATCGTCCACGGAGGACAACTCACCGACTCATTCGAGGTAAAGACCGGTGTTAGGCAAGGTTGCCTACTCTCACCCTTTCTCTTTCTCCTGGTGATCGATTGGATCATGAAGAAGTCAACATCTGGAGGAAATCACGGGATACAGTGGACAGGCAGGATGCAGCTTGGAGATTTAGACTTCGCGGATGATCTGGCTCTTCTATCACAAACGCAACAACAAATGCAGGAGAAAAAGACCAGTGTAGCAGCAGCCTCAGCAGCAGTAGGTCTCAATATAAACAAAGAGAAAAGCATGACTCTCCGATACAATACAATATGCACCAATCCAATTACACTTGACGGAGAAGCTTTGGAGGATGTGGAAACCTTTACATATCTGGGCAGCATCATTGATGAACACGGTGGATCAGATGCAGATGTGAGGGCGAGGATCGGCAAAGCAAGAGCAGCATACTTACAACTGAAAAACATCTGGTGCTCAAAACAATTGTCAACCAACACCAAGGTTAGAATTTTCAATACAAATGTCAAGACAGTTCTACTGTATGGGGCGGAGATGTGGAGAACTACGAAAGCCATTATCCAGAAGATACAAGTGTTTATTAACAGCTGTCTACGCAAGATACTTCGGATCCGATGGCCAGACACTATCAGCAACAAGTTACTGTGGGAGACAACAAACCAGATTCCATCCAGTGGAGGAAGAAATCAGGAAGAAGCGCTGGAAGTGGATTGGGCACACCTTGAGGAAATCAGCTAATTGCGTCACAAGACAAGCCCTCACATGGAATCCTGAAGGTCAAGGAGAAGAGGAAGACCAAAGAACACATTACGCCGAGAAATAGAGACAGACATGAGAAGAATGAACAAAAACTGGATAGAACTAGAAAGGAAGGCCCAGGACATAGTGGGTTGGAGAATGCTGGTCGGTGGCCTATGCTCCATTGGGATTAACAGGCGAAAGTAAGTAAGTAAGTAAGTAAGTATTATTCAAGTACTTAATAGGCCAAAGAGTATGGACATTAATGTCTTTGTGCTGACTCTTTAATATAATAAATGTCATCAATGTGTTAAGAATTCTGATAATTAACAACTCCTGTGTAATCTGTTTTTTTTGTATGAAAAAACTGTGTGAATATTGAAACTGAAACCACTTCGAATGACTGACATTCTAAAACAGAATAAACTGACACTAACTGTAATTATCGATGCGGTTGGACTTTCAAGTCTTCAATCCTGTAGGTTGTTAAGTCTACCTATTTTTTTTTACCCTTATTCTCACTCGCATTTGTTTGTCAGGGTCATCTCCATCGGTATAACTGTACAGTGTATTTCTATCAATTTAAGGTGATGTATCGACTCATAGCTTATGAAATGAGTTTGCTTAGTTTAAGATATACCGATTTACTAGTTTGAAGTCATGTCCACCATTGTTATATTTGTAATACGAATAAAACTGAATGCCTATACAGAAGAAATCTGTACCAGTATGGTGTAATTAAGAATGTTTCCTAAAGTGCAGAAGCTGTTACAAGACTTCTTCAACGGGAAAGAGTTGAACAAATCTATTAATCCGGATGAAGCTGTGGCTTATGGTGCAGCTGTGCAGGCAGCTATTCTAAGTGGTGATAAGTGTGAGGCTGTGCAGGACTTGCTGTTGCTTGACGTAGCTCCACTATCACTGGGTCTTGAAACGGCTGGAGGTGTGATGACGGCTTTGATTAAGCGTAACACGACAATTCCGACGAAGCAGACTCAAACGTTCACGACGTACTCAGACAACCAACCTGGTGTGCTTATCCAGGTGTTCGAGGGCGAGCGTGCACTGACTAAGGACAACAATCTGCTTGGTAAGTTCGAACTCTCAGGTATCCCACCTGCTCCTCGTGGTACTCCTCAGATTGAGGTGACGTTTGATATAGACGCGAACGGTATTCTGAACGTATCTGCTGTTGACAAGGGTACCGGGAAGCAGAACAAGATAACGATCACAAATGATAAGGGTCGTTTGTCGAAAGAGGAGATTGAGCGGATGGTAGCCGATGCGGACAAGTACAAGGCTGAGGATGAGAAGCAGAGAGATCGTGTTTCTGCAAAGAACTCGCTTGAGAGTTATGTGTACACAATGAAACAGCAAGTGGAGGGTGAGCTTAAAGAAAAGATACCTGAAAGTGATCGTCAAGTAATAGTAAGCAAGTGTGAGGATACAATTAGTTGGCTGGACGTCCATCAGTCGGCGGAGAAGCATGAGTATGAAAGTAAGCGGGAGGAGTTGGAGAAGGTCTGTGCGCCGATAATTACGAAGGTGTACCAGGCTGGTGGTATGCCAGGAGGCATGCATGAGGCAAGTGGTGCTGGTGGTGGAAGTGGTAAGGGACCAACCATCGAGGAGGTCGACTAACCTATAATTGTTGTGATAAATTGTTTAGTACTTGAATAATGAATTTAGATTTCATTGGTAATGAATTTTGACTTCTGATTTTTAGCGGTTGTCGGTTGTTTGGTACCGGGTCAGGGTTTCGTTATTTGCGAGTAGTGAATATCGTTGTGTAGTGTCTGGTCGTTCATATTAAGATAGTGAGCGCTCTCTGTTTCGTCCTGCCCTCTATATTACGAAACACTTGATAAGTTGAGAGTTGGGAATCCGGATGTGTGCGAATTAGCGTTTGCGTTGATCGTCTGCAGACCTATCAACCTGAAGTGCACGACAAGTCGATGGTGTGAACCGTGTACAGCAAAACAAATCCCTAATACTCTGATAGTTAATTGTATAATAAAGTAGTTATCTTTCAGCGATCCCCTGTGCTGGGATACTTTCACATAAACATTTGCAAAGGATAGTAAAATTAAAACAATTTTAATCTGTTTTTGTTTATTCTCTTGCAAGATTTGGGACGAAGAACATGTACCAACAGACCGGAAAGAAGGACTTCTCATCAAGATACCAAAGAAAGGCGATCTGAGCAAGTGCGACAACTACAGAGGCATCACTCTCCTCTCAATACCAGGAAAAGTCTTCAACAGAGTATTGTTAAACAGGATGAAGGATTCCGTGGACGCTCAACTTCGAGATCAACAAGCTGGATTTCGTAAGGATAGATTGATATGACTTGTGTGTTGAACGCTATATTCAGATCCTAAGCTATACGGATAACCCCAGGCTAGCACTACTCAGCGACTTGAAAGACCAGTAAGAAGACACGAGTAACAGAGAAATCACTTTACTACAAGGTTCGATTATGTACAGAAAAAACAGGGGTTTTATAGTAATTAGAAAGACCTTGAGATTCCATAGTAGCAATATGTTAACAGCCAATCAGGACCTTGTTATTTTAGTAGCATTTTTAGTAGCATAGCTTCTAACTGATCGCTGATTGGTTGGTCTCTTTATGAGCCTCTCTGGAGCCTCTGATAGAGTTTATTGTATGCCGATCTAACACCTCCCCTTTTTTGAAGAAGCGGGGTAGGTATCCAGACTGCATTTGCTGACTTCAACCTCCCCCACGAAACAATGTTGGGTCCCCAACTTTCGACATAGTGCCGTTGTTGCAGATTGAATTTATGGGACGATCTAATAATTTCAACTTTTCTATCCAATCAAGTCCCAATAAGTCGAGTGCTGGCCGTTCTGTCAAAAATATTACTCCCTTCTTTGTAAGCTCTGCGACTGTGATTTTACAGTGAACCTCACCAGCAACGTTTATAATCCCCCCAGATGCGCCGTGTGCTGTCTGATAGGTTGAAAATATTCTCGGCCTCCCAATTTTCTCCCACGTCCTCCTGCTTATAAGCGTTATATCGGAGGCTGTGTCCAGCTGTAAGCGGGCATCGTACCCGTTAATCTTGAGGGAAACATACTTTCTACGATTATGGGAGCCGATTCTGTTAGCAGCTACCGTCACCTTGGCTGTGCGTGGCTTGAATCTTTTAGAATAAACTTTAGGTTGACGACGTTTACGGGTTTTGCAATGACTTTCTTTGTGTCCTTTCCTGGAACACGTAGTGCAACGATGACTTTTAAACGGACAAAACCTTTTGAAATGCCAACCTCCGCATAACCAGCATGGGGATGATGGTTTACCGCAATCATTTCGATAATTCTGTATACTGGAACCTTGCTCGACTTTCCTCTCAACAGCATTAACGTGGAGGAACTGGTTAGTGTTTTCTACCATCGAGGTATCGTGCTTCAAATTCACTAACCTTTGACATTCATTAGTCACTTCCTGCAGGGTCATGTTGGGACAATGCTCAAGTTTGCTTAGGATTCTCGTTCGGATGTCAGCATCCTCAGGTGAACGCAGGCTACAGACAAATACTAAGCATTTAAACTGGTCTTCAGACATGGAAGACAAATTGAACCTCTCGCATTCTCGGTTCACAATACCTGCATGTTTCACCCAGTCATCTCCTGATTCTTTCGTTATCTTCAAGCACTGGTAACGGATATTAAATAGAGACGACTGTTCTCCAAAGATTTGAGACAGGGTTTGAATTGTTTCATCAAAACTAAAGTCTCGTGGGTTCTTCGGGAGAATAAAGTTACTATAGCGTTCATGTTCTGTTGTCCCAAGCTTTCTTAGAAGTATTCTGACTTTTGAAGCGTCATCCAGTCTGCAGAGATCAATATGAAACAAATCTTCATACTTCTTAAACCAAGAGTTAAAAGTGACACCTGCTGCACCATCAAAATTAAATTCATGGATTGCGTTAATAACTGAGTCAGTATGAGATACTTGAAATTCACCAGCAGCAGAGTTTTGTTGAGACATACATAATTTCTGCATAAGAGCTTCCATGACTCTGATTTGAGACTGTTCAAACCGTTTTTCTTGACGCTCCATATAAGCTTCAAATTGCTCTAAAGAAATACTCATTGTCATTTTTTTTTTTCGTCGCCAGTGATATGTCTTGTAGTTTTTCCCCGTCGCCACTGATATGACTTGTGTGTTGAACGCTATATTCAGATCCTAAGCTATACGGATAACCCCAGGCTAGCACTACTCAGCGACTTGAAAGACCAGTAAGAAGACACGAGTAACAGAGAAATCACTTTACTACAAGGTTCGATTATGTACAGAAAAAACAGGGGTTTTATAGTAATTAGAAAGACCTTGAGATTCCATAGTAGCAATATGTTAACAGCCAATCAGGACCTTGTTATTTTAGTAGCATTTTTAGTAGCATAGCTTCTAACTGATCGCTGATTGGTTGGTCTCTTTATGAGCCTCTCTGGAGCCTCTGATAGAGTTTATTGTATGCCGATCTAACATAGATCATGCACAGATCAAATCGCAACTCTACGTATCATTGTGGAACAATCAATCGAATGGAATTCATCACTGTACATCAACTTCATCGACTACGAGAAGGCATTTGATAGCGTGGACAGGACGACACTGTGGAAGCTTCTTCGACACTACGGTGTGCCTGAGAAGATAGTAAATATCATACGTAACTCCTATGATGGACTAAACTGCCAAATCGTCCACGGAGGACAACTCACCGACTCATTCGAGGTAAAGACCGGTGTTAGGCAAGGTTGCCTACTCTCACCCTTTCTCTTTCTCCTGGTCATCGACTGGATCATGAAGACGTCAACATCTGGAGGAAATCACGGGATACAGTGGACAGGCAGGATGCAGCTTGGAGATTTAGACTTCGCGGATGATCTGGCTCTTCTATCACAAACGCAACAACAAATGCAGGATAAAACGACCAGTGTAGCAGCAGCCTCAGCAGCAGTAGGTCTCAATATAAACAAAGAGAAAAGCAAGACTCTCCGATATAATACAATATGCACCAATCCAATTACACTTGACGGAGAAGCTTTGGAGGATGTGGAAATCTTTACATATCTGGGCAGCATCATTGATGAACACGGTGGATCAGATGCAGATGTGAGGGCGAGGATCGGCAAAGCAAGAGCAGCATACTTACAACTGAAAAACATCTGGTGCTCAAAACAATTGTCAACCAACACCAAGGTTAGAATTTTCAATACAAATGTCAAGACAGTTCTACTGTATGGGGCGGAGATGTGGAGAACTACGAAAGCCATTATCCAGAAGATACAAGTGTTTATTAACAGCTGTCTACGCAAGATACTTCGGATCCGATGGCCAGACACTATCAGCAACAAGTTACTGTGGGAGACAACAAACCAGATTCCATCCAGTGGAGGAAGAAATCAGGAAGAAGCGCTGGAAGTGGATTGGGCACACCTTGAGGAAATCACCCAATTGTGTCACAAGACAAGCCCTCACATGGAATCCTGAAGGTCAAGGAGAAGTGGAAGACCAAAGAACACATTACGCCGAGAAATAGAGACAGACATGAGAAGAATGAACAAGAACTGGAAAGAACTAGAAAAGAAGGCCCAGGACAGAGTGGGTTGGAGAAAGCTGGTCGGCGGCCTATGCTCCATTGGGATTAACAGGCGAAAGTAAGTAAGTAAGTAAGTCTTGCAACTCAGTCAATCGATCAAAGCGTGGAACCAGTAGGTATGTACGTCGGTTCAAATTACCATACCACCAGAAAAGAAAATATTAGTTATCAAAATAAAAACAAAAACAGTTATGAAGCATTTAGAATGTCACGATTTGGGAGAAGATAAAGAATGGATGCACCTGAACCGCTTTAAAAGATTTAACACCATGTCATTCAAAGTCTTCAACTATTTTTCACGATAATCACGCAGACCCCGATTAGGTAGGCTGTACTTATTAACATAGCTAAATCCAGTTGTCACGGACTTCATGGATTGATGTCATGTATTAGTTTGGCCGCCCCTAGCTTCCTTCCAAACTACTCCTACACCGAAAAACATAGACTGTCAAGGTATGCGGTGGGTGGGCATGCGAAACACATGTCCCAAACACCTCAGTTGAAAATTTACCATCTCATCAATCGATTTCTTATCTTCACCACAGGGGAAATAAATGTTACGTAACACTTATAAATCTAATATTTGATGTAAATGTTGTACTGAAAAAAATCTAAAAAGCATTTGTATCTAAATCTAGCTGAAATAAGCAGCATATTTAAACTATAAGTGAACCAGTGTTTGACTAAAGGGATGAAAGAGTTATATGCAAGATCAATGAATGGTTTTATGGAAAAAATGAATATCTTTAAAATGTTATAAAAGAATTCAACAGAAAGGAATCAGGAAGAAACTTTCTATTCTGTTTATCCAACTCTCTCAAGAATCATCTATTTTAAATTAAACAATTGAACTAAGTTTTTCATTATATTAGGTTGATTCGTTTATTTATATAATAATGTGTCCCTTCTTTTTTTTTAATTATTCATGCTTCTAATTAATTAGTGAACATTGAACTAATTTAAGCAAACATTCCTATGTAAATCAATTTAGTTTTTCAAGTTTAACTCTTTAGATATATATGTATACGGACAATCACAATTCTTTATTCAATCTTTTATCTTTGACGAAAATGGACTAGGTTAATTTTTTTCTTTAACTTGAACAGAAAAGAAGAATCAACTTAATTTTTATTTTGTGACAAAAAGAAAATCTTTTGATCGTGTTGCTTTTGTTCAAAATAGATCAGTGGAAGAAAAAGTAAGTAAGAAGATCACAAAATGAAATTATTTTTTAAAACAAAAGAATTAGCAGGATAAAATAGAATTTATTTTACAGCGTTTCTTAAAATACATCTAAAATGAAATGTATATTTAAACTATAATGGTATAGTTACAATGAGCCCTGTGTCTAATACCTAATGTTTTCAAAACCAACGCTTTCTCTGCTAGTCTTCAGAATCCAGATAGTTACCAAGTTGCTTAACTGTTGTGATATAGTAAGCAAAGATGGATAGTGGCTAGCAGTGGAATCCAGGACGCGCGTTTCGTCCTATTTGGGACTCGTCAACTGAATGTACCTGCATCTCAGAGTTGATGTTCACTCTGGGACTCGAACCCAGTAACTTTCGCTTCAAACGCCATCGCGTTATTCACTCGGCCACTGAGTCCTGATGATATAGTTTGCAATGTTTTATATTATTCCGTTGTTATTTCAAAACTCCGTTTGATTTGTCACTGCTGATATAAATTCACTCTAAATGGATGTTTGTGACAATAAATAATACTATAAATCCAATATTTCTTATTTAAAGTATAATCCACAATCATAAATATATCTATAAGGAAACTAACAGTAATGATACTGGCTTTCAAGTTCTTAGTAGATCATTTGTTGTATATGTTATTGGGGGTTTTGCTTATTCATCTATTTTGATTTTAAAAATGCAAACCAAATTATAACTCGAAATGCTGAATAGCAAAGAATTATAAACATAAATTTTATTCCTGTTAATTGGTACTTGATTTTATGTTGTTTATTTGGTGTAGTACATATTATAATAGGCTCTGGTATTTTGGCTGAATGTGACCACAATCCAGTAAACTAATATATCAAAATTCGATAATACAATAAGTCTTAGACACTATTTTTAATGGTGATATATAAATAGTGTAATTAACGAAATTCCATAAAATACAAACAAACAAACTCTTACCTTGAACCCATTGTAAACTTTAATTTTGCGCAGATAAGTACATCTTTAAACAGGAATAGGTAACGCAATTTACGACTATTTGTTTTAGAAGTAAGTTCAACCACTAGACTATGCATAATCAAACGATTGGAATCCTTTCATTTGGTAAAAGAAATCAAGTAGAAAAGTGTTAGTAAAACAAATAATACAGTATAATTTATTAGGAAAAATGAAATTAATTAAACTAATTGTATAGAATTGACCGAATATAAAATAGAACCAAATTGATTGTCTTATAGTTTGATACAAAATAATAAAATCATTAGTCAATTGAAGCTGGATCACCATGGAAAACCTGGATTGCCGTCTCGACCTATTGTGAGACTCCTCAGCAGTGCGCATCCACGATCCGGCCTCGTGAGACTCAAGCTCAGCACCTATCAGTCCCGCGCGCGAGCACTTAACCACTAGACCACTAGGCCGGCATCCAACAATGTTAATTTTTAACTTCAACCAATCCACGAAGTTGAGCAATCGTCCACCATTGTCTTCAGTGAGTTGATATCTCACAACAGACCTGGTTGAACTCCACTGGTCACTGGTTCTCACTAGAACTCCAGGAAATATCTCTTGAAGTCAGTGAATGAGCACTGCTGAGGAGTCCCGCAATAAGACGAAACGGCCATCCGGTGCTTTTAGATTTTCCATGGTGGTCTACCTTCAACTGACTAATGATTTCAACTGTAAAAAATTACTATCTCCACAAAAACCCCTTCTGACAAAATCATGAGCTGTATTTGAATATTTACAAAGACTTCACATTACGTATTTCTGCACTATACAGACTCACGAATAAATCTTTGCTTACAATAAAAATATTTCACAACGAAGCGTATCAAATGGTAATCAACATTTTGTAATGTCGGTTACTATGATAAGCCTTTATAACAGGCCAATTTATCCATTATTCTTGAGTCACGTTTTGACCTTGTTAATTATTCACTTATCAACCCTGTCTGTTCCGATCAACGAGTGTACAAAATATATGTATTCGAAAATCCATTCTCGTATTTGACTTATTTAATTCCGTTATTCACTAACGCTGATTAATTTGATAATTATATGGGAGGATTGACGATATGTGTATTATCAATAACAATCATTCATACGATCTATATGAAGTCAAATATGGGGCCACAAAAACCCTTTTTCTAACAAGAGTAAATAGTGTATAATCAAGCTAAAAATTAACTATTAAGCTCCTTTAAAATATGATATTTATGTTCACATCAACTCTGAGGCGCAGGTACATCCAGCTAACGAGTCCCAAAAGGACGAAACGTGAGTCCTGGATTCCACTGTCAGCCAATATTCATTTTTGCTAACAGTGCTTGTGAATTAAGGCTGTATCGAAGCAATACGCACAGTATGCACATATGCCAATAAGAGACTGATCAATTGCAGTCCTAAACGTCAATGGGAAGATTCAAACAAACAATACCAAGTGAATTCAAACTTCACCCCATCGCACAAGCAAGTGCTTATCAGAACTCAGTAGCTGAGTGAGTAACGCGAAGGCGTTTGAAGCGAAAGGTACTGGGTTCGAGTCCCTGGATTCCACTGCTAGCAACTATTCTAATTATTGTAATTATCTCTTTATAATGGTTTATTTCCATGACATACCTTACTGTTAAAAGTTTCCTCGTTAAAATTCACTATTCAGTATTTAACTTAACCGATTAAAAATATTCATTTATTCTGTAGCTTAGTTCTTATTAGTACATGAAGTTTATTAGATTATGATGTTATAGTTTAATTATTGAAAAATTGAAAAGTTAGTTTATTGCTATAACAACTGGCTATCATATATATATATATAGGAAGTAATTATGGATGAATGATTATGGTCACCGGAGTCCATTTAGAAAAGTGCTTTGCAGAGTTAGTGAAGATATTGAAGTGAACTTATATGGTAGTAGATATACTGTTAAATCATACCAATGGCTAAATGTGTTATTCTCACTAGATGACTAAAAATAGGAATGAACATATCGTTTTAAATATTAATACTGATTGCTTTATTTAGTAGTATCTGTTTAGTAAAATATAGAATTTTGTTTATAAGATGAAGTATAATGCCGGTTGTGGTAACTTTACAATTGTGTAAAAGAGTAGATTATACTTTTTTTGTTGACTTCATACCTTACTAATTACTGTTCCAACTAATAAGATAACTTATTTAGAAATATCAGATGTTGATATATTTGATCATTCAGAGAATTAACATTTTTACCAAGTTTGAAAAAAAAATGTCTTCTCAATTTTCACTCACTAGAATTTAGCTTTATTCTGTTTAAAATATAAACTGTAAGGAAACGACATTTTTGGAATTGAAACCTTTGACTGTGTAATAAATTAGTCTCTGTTTTCTGTTATTCATTTGTTAAATTTTATCTTCTCACTGTTATATTCCGTGGAGATTTATGAATGGTAACTTTGAAAACTATTTATGAACCAATGTGATTTATATATTTCCTATTGTATAATTGCTAAGTAACTTAACTATTCATATTCATGTTCCTTTTATTATGAGCTTTATTTTGACCCATAAACTAATATTATTGAGTTATCCCTGGTACATTAATTACTGTTCCCCATATTCACAGCCATATTTGACCAAATCTTGTACAAATATTATTTTCTATTTGATCGTACGATGTGGTCAATGGTATATAAACCCAGTATGTTTGAGAATAATGATTCATATTGCAGAGGCTGTTATGGGTGTTCTGGACTTAACTGGCCTGGCTAGGCAGATAGCAGAACCGAGTAGTACTCAAGACTTCTCATTGCTCTGATCGATAATTCGCTCTTCTCTCATTGGTGGGAATCAGCACGTTCATATATATATCAACTGGGCAAGAATGCACTCAATCGATATAACACTCATGACCTTTAAGAGTACAGTACTTTGTCATTACGTTATGAAGACTGGTTTTAGTATTTATTGTTTAGATAAATCAATAACTCCAAGTCTTCTGACATTTTCAGCTTATAATGAAGTGCAATCTTATAGTAAGTCCTAATTTCATGATACAATAATAACTTCTCAAAACCAGCAAATTATTAAGAATACATCAAAATGTTTAAGCAAGTAGTTTCATCCTATCATTAAGCACGAAGAAAAAAGTGTAAATTCTTTTAGCTTAACGGTAAAAATCAGTTCGAATGGAGGCTATGGAAATTAGAAGACCAAAACATAGCCTTCATATTCAACAGAACTTGGTGGTTGACTTTTAAATATCTTTGAGTAACTGAAACAAATTGCGATCAATCTTCCTTTTTTGTTATTCTTTATTTATTTATGACTCATTTAACAAGTTCAATTCGGACTGTTTTTACTTTATTATCTCCATAGATTTCAAGTTAATCTTTATCATATTAATTAATCAATTTATTTAAGCATCTTTTTGAAAGATAGGCATATGAAAGCCTTTCTATAAGGTTTGGTTTTGAAATGTAAGAAAACTAGTGATATATATATCATATTCTTATACTCAATCTTCCTGAAACTTCATTAGTTATCATTAAAGTATCGTAATGAATTGAAAATTTAATTCTGTCATATGATAAAACACTCTTCAAAAAAATATTATTCACATACATTTGTCGTCTTATCTTCTATACTATTATTTGAATTCAGTGATTCCTCCAGTAATCTTTTATAAATTCTTTGAAGTTCAAGATAATGAGGTGAATCTGTATCAAGTAGCAGAACTAATGTCTAAATATAAAAAAATAATATATATGTATTTAGTTAAATGATTGCTTTTCTTATAAATCTAATAGACTTCGATAAATAAACAGGCTTATTAAAGCTTATGAACAATTTCCGTATTATGAAATAGAAATAGTTTTTAATTTTAATTTTAATATATTGGTGAACTGAATCTTCTAGTTGACGTTTAGTACTGAAATTGATCTGCCTTATGTATATCCTCTGTATATTACCTCGATATTCCTATTAAAAATGAGGATTTTGGAGCAGAGATAGCTGAAGCATAGTAATAGAATCCAAGATGAGTGTATCATTCTACCTTATACTCTTCAGCTGGATTAAATGTTTACTTCGGGACACAAACTCTTCACCATTCACATCAAATCGCATCAGGTTATCTACTGAGCTACTGAGTCTAGACAGTCACCAGCTTGTGAAATGAGATGAATTTCAAGCGAAAGGCATTGGATTCGAGTTTCGGAGTTAACATTAAGTCTGAAATGCAGGTACATCCATCCGACGAGTCCAAATAGGACGAACATAGTGTCTTGAATCACATTGCTATCAACAATTTATCTATGCCTAAAAATTTTGAATTTGTTTATAAAATATTTTAGAATTTACTCCAAGAATCCATGGTGGATATCAGTGGTTTTTGGGCTATAATAACTTATAACAACATAGGTAACACAAATTTTGATTACCGTTAATTTTGTCGAGCTCTTTTATTAACTTACTTAACAGACAAGATTATTTGAGAGGTAACAATTCGCATATTTCTTTGTGCCATTGTGATCGCTATCTTGTCTGTATAAACATGTACTCTTGATCATATGACAGCCTACGCACATAATCCTCACTCTACCTTAAATGCCAATCGCTTAAATATCACCCGATGAATCATTCTCTTCCCTATGTATATCTGTACTTGGATCTTATTAACTGTCTTGCCCTGCTTCTCCTCACCTTGATTCGATTTGACTATAAATCCGTTTCTGTGTTCGTTCGTTTACACACATTATCCTTCCTGATCTAATTTGCTTGATGTACTAGTAACTTTGTTATCTGTGCTTTCCAATAATAAACTGTAACCGCAGCTTCGTATCTCATTCTGAATTTATACAACGTTGAGATTTATTTAATAGGGGTTATCACGGTGATTGATAAACGGAGCTTAAGGAAATTATCACTAATCTTAGCCACTACAAACTATTTCCTATATCAGAAGGGGTTTTGTGGAGATTTAGTATTTTTCATAGTAGAAAGCTTGAGCCAATTGAAGCTAGACCACCATGGAAAACCTGGAAACACTGGACGGCCGTTTCGTCCTGAGCTGGCATCCAACGGTGTTAATGTCTAACTTCAACTGATCCACGAAGTTGAACTCAGTGGTCTATCGGTTAAGGGCTTCGGCTCGAGACTGGTAGGTCCTGGGTTCGAGTCTCGCTCGCGAGAGCGGATTCGTGGATGCGCACTGCTGAGGAGTCCCATAATAGGACGAAACGGCCGTCCAGTGTTTCCAGGTTTTCCATGGTGGTCTAGCTTCAATTGACTCATGCTTTCTACTATTTCCTATATATTTAATGTCACACAAATGCAAAATTTTTCAAGCCTAATAAAATGGGCAATATTTAAAGTCAAAAAACGAAATCGAGAATTTCTCATCATTTCAGAGATGGACTTTGTGAAAAGCGGATTTCAGGAACAATATTTCAAATTCGATTAAGACAAGTTTTTTTGGGACAATATATATTAATTTTAAGAGTATCTTCTAATTAACTTGAAAAAGATTAAAAAACATCCAATGATATCTTATATGGTGGCGTTTATAAACTGTAACTTAAAAAATTCATCAACTATAGCTATGTAGTTTCTAAACGAATCTATCTTAAAATCTGAGGAACAGTAATTTGGTATTGCATATCAGTAGGTTTCCATAAATTTTTAAATCACATATACGCATACGAATTATGACTAAAGACGAGAGTGAGTTTTGTTGATTGTAGACACCATAAAAGTAGGCTTCATAAAACCCATAATAAAAATTTATATTTCCCGTTTTAAATAGCATCAGTCTTAGCTATTCTGAGATGTTATTGACCCTGACAACTGTGGAACCAACTGTAAGTCGTTTTGACTTTTGTAAAATTATGACTGAATTTATTTAGTTATGAAATCTAGGAAAAGTTCATTTTACTGGTTTTAGAACTCGATCATTTAACCAGTACTTAGCGAAAATGTATTATGTATTGGATAATGCTTCCAAAACTAGTGAGTTTTTATATTCATCCTCTAATAATCACAGAAAATTAAAATAGTATTCCTTCGTCTTGATTGTATCTGTTTACTTGTTTTGAAAAAGTCTAGATTTTCAGAGTTGGCAGGAAAAGCTTTTTGACTATTTCATTATAAACAACAATTTAGTAAAGTAATGAAGATTATAATCTTGACTAAAGTGATGTATTCCTGATATATATTGTTGCGCAAACACATCACACTTCTAAGATCAACTTCATCTTTGATTACATCATCGAAATTTATAGAAGGAACCAAATGACTGAAGTTCAGTTATCGATTTGTTTTGATCGTAAAACTAGAACCATGTTAACAAAGTAGGTCGACCACATTATTAGAATAAAATAATATCCCTGATGTCACATTTGTCTATTTATTTAAGTCAAGTCTGTATTGAACTGTTTATTAACTCAAATCAATGTAACTTGTAACGTACTTTTATGTTTTCAACAGTCTGTGTAATCCAAGTCGTTGGCTCTTGAAGTTTAACTTGAAGAAAATAGATGAGAATTTAAAAAAAGATATCAAAGAAACTTCATTTACGGCTTTGTTTCCACAGAACAGTTACGCATGACATATGTTTGATGAAAAAAAACTAAGACCTAATTTTTTCAATTCCATTGCGATAACCTAAAAATACTCATTTCAGTCAAATCTTTCAGCAGCTTTATTTATCATCTATACCTTTAGTGAGTTAGTATTGAAAAATTCATAGGTAAGCTAAACCATTTTTCTAACTTAACAAGTAAGTTCAATGAGTATCCATTCAAGATTTGTAGTCTATAGGATTATTCAAACTCTATCACTCATATCTTAACACAATTACTATTATCAATTGATGTTGTAATACATCCTTCTTTCTGTAAGGTGCTCATGAACTATGGAAGATTAATAAAATATCAGTTGCCTCATGCTTAGCTTCGTGAAAAAGTCTCTGTATGTGATGTGATATACATTGGGAGCTTCCGTTCTATCAATATTAACGACAAACTTTGGTGATGAATAGGAACTATCTCAAAACAGATTACTGTATCTAAATAACCACATGTTAACGAAAATAGATTTAAATGACTCTATAGAGAAGAACTAATTTATTTAAACACAATCGCTAACGGTAATATCAATTGCCGTAGCTTGTGCAAAATATTTGTTTAACAATATTACATATATGTTTATTTATTTAACTTGATGTAACCTATGAAACTTCACTTTCTTTACTGACATGTAATCATATAATTAAAAAAAATATTATAACCCACTAAAATTTTCGAATACGATGCCCTAGTAAACCCTAATTATGAAGAATAAAAAATTCCAAACAATAAACCTACGAAAGATGATTAAAAATGTAATAGATAAATATTGGAAGTTTCTTTTCCTCATATAATTCTTCAGTAAGAGAAATAGGTTATATCTACTCTTTGAAACAATCATCAAGTTAACTGTATACTTTGTATAAGTTAATAGATTAATATAACTAAAAAATATTTGGACAAATTTTGCTATTTCACAGTTTGTATCACAAAATGAGCATAGTTAAACATCAACTAAAGACCAGTAAATAGTAGACAGTTGTATGGAACTTAACAGCATCAGGGATCCACGATCTCACTGGGTATTGAACTCAGGTCTCATAAAGAGAACTTAATCTTTAAACCACTAAGGTTTCATTCAATGTTTCATATGTCTAACTTCGGACAATTTTACCATCTTGAAGATTATTGTGATGAAGTAGCAATACAAAAAAACGAGATACATTCTACAAGGAGATAAAACAAAAAAGAACTTACATGAATTCAGTGATTTCTGAAATGTCAAGAGATAAATATTAGATGAAACTAAAGTTAAAACAGTAAACATATATTAGTGATAATCATAACAAGTGGGGATGATCAGTTGACCAAATAATACTATTATTATTGATTTAGCCGTAACTGATTCATTTTAATTTAGTAACTAAAAAAAAGCATTCAGAAGGCATAGTGAAACATCTCATTGAAATCATGACTAATATATACTAATGATTTAATTTACAGTGCGCATCTACGACCCTGTCCGCGGGATTCGAACACAGAATCAATTGGTATTGCGCGAGAACGCTTAAATTCTAGTCTACTGAGTCGGCATCCACTGATGTTAATGTCTAACTTCAACCAATCCACAAAATCGTAACACCATCCACCATTGTCTTCAGTGAATTATTATCTCACAAGAGACCTGGTTAATCTCCATTGGTCACGGATTCTCACTAGAACTTCAAGGAAAACCTCTTGAAGCCAGTCACTAGTGAGCACATGATGATTGTTATCAGAAGACGATTTTGTGGATATTTTAATAATTTAATAAATTTATTTTTAAATTTTTCAAAAATAGTTATATTTATTAAAATTATTATTTTTCAATCAAAACAAGAATATTTAAATAGTTAGGATGTAAACACTGATAAAATAGATGACTTTTCATAAGATTAATCATACTGTAGTGTACGCTGCTGATGTTGACAGATATAAGTAGTGTGTATCATCAATCGAAAGTGAAATGCCTGGAGGCAAAAAGGTTAAGAAGGTAAAAAAATAGAAAGAGAACAGAGAATGATTGGTGTGGAAACGAAGGAACAATCAAGTCTGAGACGATTGAATGACATTTTGTAAATGAAGTATTTTTTGTATGATTCCCAGATTTTACTAAGAGATTCAGTAAGTTTTTGTTTAAATACTTTTGTTGTCCCCCGCTGGTGTTCTTGTTCATTATAACACAACTAATAGGAAATATCATTTGAATATTAGCTAGTATTCGGATTCACTAAGTTGAGTTTTCAGCGAAAATGTGTATACTAATAAGGTAATTTTCATTTGAAAACATAACAAACTGAAGAAATCATGAATTTATAATATGCATGATAATACTGAGTAATATTTGCAGCAAGCAATAATTAAAATAAATACCTTTACTTTAGATCTACTTTAACGTTACCCACCTGATGATATGCTTACTACTGAATAATTAGATATTTTTTATAACCCTCAAATACCAGTTTGTTGTTTGTTGAAACGATCATATTGGGTGTAAAATAATAGGAGCAATGATGACATTACCGGAAGACAGAGAAGTAATATGGAAATGTAAACCATTGGATTAAATCTCAACAATGTATAAAGATCATGCTCTCAATAAAACCTACAGGCTTTGTTCTTGATTTCCTATGTATTTATGAATTTCTCCTCACTGATTAATCATACTGTATGGAAAAATATGTGACCGGTGCTTCTTGGTTTATGATTAGTTTGCATTTAATTTAAGTTCGTAGCAGAAATTAATTTTAAATTACCTCTCTATTCTTATTAGACTTTCGCCACTTACCAAATGAGAACATAACCTTTACCTCATAAATAAAAATGGTATATATCCGACTTGATTATTAATACATTCTTATTTATGTAGCTATTGAACATATCACACATGCATCAAGTTTGATAGATTGTTATGAGAGCTTTCAAATAAATAATTATTCTGATCATTCCAAATTCTTTCTTAATTCATTACAGTATTTTAACTGTTCTTTAATTTATATAAGACTTTCAGAAGAATAAAAGGTGAGTTGTATATATATATATATATAAATCAGTTGATTAGGTTGTAAATCTTCATCGACTGAGATGGTTGGGCCACATGTTACGTATGTCTGAACAACGATTACTACAACGCGCAATGCTGACTAGTGTAGGGGATGGTTGGAAGAAAGTTAGGGGCGGTCAAACCAAAACGTGGCATCAATGCTTGAAGTCACTAACTTCTAGTCTAAGCCATGTTATTAGATGCAGACTAATTGGTTGGGGTCCGCATGACTATCGTAATCAAGGGTTGCAGACTGAATAACGTGACTCAGATTTGGTCACAATGGCATAGGTGTTTACACTCTTTGTCTGCCCTAGAAAGGTGAGATTAGAATTGCTTTATACCTTTCTATGAACTAATTCTTTCTTCCTGTATTATATCCTTATAAACAATCTTTCTTTTGTATATTACTACTTTTGAAGTAACTACGTCTATGAATTTGGTGTTCATCTTGTTATGCTAATGAGGTGTGGCAACTTAGACCGATGCATATATGTGCCTGGTCTTGCGTTGTTGCTATATATATCAACGGATATGTTAAATGGATTCAGCTTTAGTTGAAACCGGATTTTATGATGTGACATTTCAAGCATTAAAGTTTTTTACTTCCAAACAAAATATTATTATTATTTATGGAAAATTTAGTACGTGACCATTCTCTCATTAAACTTAGCAAACATCTTGTATATAATACTTAATATAAATAATTATTATTACGAAACATTAACCAATTTTATTTGCAGAATTAAGAAAAAAATGGTTTTAATCATATGATATAGGTCAATGTACTATACATTATAACAAAAGAAAAAGTAAGTGAAATCTAAATAAATGGTCTTAGATACTAATTTATTGATTTTAATATGTTAATGTTCCAATCAATTAAGCTGGTTGATACTTGACAACTGAAATTCTACATTTTTATGGTTCATTTCTTTAAAAATATTGATGACTGAATGTATATTAATAAATTGTCAATTTCATAGGAACCCGTATAGTAAATTTTGTTTTAATTATAAAATTTTTGTATAAAGTATGACAATATTCTTGTAGCAATGGAATAATCTTCTTTGCCAAATAAGAATTTTTTTTAAGTAAAATGAATTAATATCAGAAGGGTTTTTTATTGATATTATAGTAATTTTAATAGTTAAGATCATGAGTCATTTGAAGCTAGACCACCATGGAAAACCTGGAAGCGCTGGACGTCCGTTTTGAATCTCGCGAAGCGAGATCATGGATACGCACTGTTGAGGAGTCCCACAATAAGACGAAACGAACGTCCAATGCTTCCAGGTTTTTCATGGTGGTCTAGCTTCAAATGACTAATGATCTCAACTAATAAAATGAATTAGTCAATTCAAATCATTGAATAATTGTCATTCAATTGATTTTCATCAATACTTGGCCAGACTGTTTGTCAATAATTTTAACATTAAAAATAGATTTAAGAAAAAGTTGTATAACATTTAGTTGTTGGTTCCTCACAAAAGAATTCTGCATTCTACAGTTTTACTTTCATAGTTGAAGTCATGAGTCAATTGAAGCTAGACCACCATGGAAAACCTGGAAGCACTGGACGGCCATTTCGTCCAATTGTGGTACTCCTCAACAGTGAGCATCCACGATCCCGCCTCACGAGATTCGAACCCAGGTCCTACCAGTCTCGCGCCAGAGCACTTAACCGATAGACCACTGAGCCAGCGTCCAACGGTGTCAATATCTAACTTCAACCAATCTACGAAATTTGAGCAACCGTTCACCAATTTTCTTCAGTGAGTTGTTATCTCACAATAGACGTGGTTGAACTCTACTGGTCACTGCTTCGCACTAGAACTCCAGGGCATGTATCTTGAAGTCAGTCACTAGTGAGCGTATGACTATAATCATAAGGGGTTTTGTGGAGATTTCAGTATTTTCAAAGTTGAAATCTCCACAAAACCCCTTCTAATTTTACTTTCTGTGTGGTGTATTTCAAACAAATATCGATCAAAAAAATTATTCAAAAATCTGAAAATGGTATTCATTACATATTATGAATTCATTTGATGTATTATCGAAAAATGGGAAGCACTGAGCAGCTGATTTATCCTTGTTTGGGACATGTTCCAATATTAAGTACTGGTGACACCACTAAGAATTGAACCCAGAGCATTAGTTCTTTGGTGAACACCTAGTTATTAAATCCCTACGTTTGTATCCAACAGTGCACATTTCTAACTTCAGTCATATGGCTAATTCAAAATCCATTGATCCCTCTAAGATTTATCGTTTATGAAACAAATATGTCATTGTTTTACTAAGTTAAATTATAAGCTTTATTTTCTATTGACAAAAGTACTTGAAACCTTTTACCATCATACAACCACATTGTAGTAATTCGATCATGCTCAAATACAGAATTATATATGAAAGATTTATGTCATTTATGTAGAATATTTTTTTTACTTTTAAGAACAATAACTACTCAAATGATAACAAGTTTTGTTTTCTCTGTAGAATTAAAAAAATAATAATTTATGATAATTCATATTTACTCAAATATTCTGAAAAAGTTAATTTGCATAATTTATTTTGTAAAGTAAAGAATTCTTGAATTCCTTAAATTATCATGCTCATGTAAAGAAAGGAAGAGCTATGCAGTGAAGTTTAAATCTACTTTTAAGAAACTTCTATAGATAATCAGTTGTTTTCTGAAAACTTATCAGTTATCAGTCAGTCAATCACTCAGCTACAACGTAGGACCAGGCACATTTATGCATCGGTCCAAGTTGTCATACCTCGTTAGCACAAAAAGATCACCACCGAATTCATAGAAGTAGTTAATTTAGTGGTGGTAATATATAAAAGATAGGTTGTATATAAGGATATAGTATAGGAAGTGTTATGACTTGACCTAGCCGTCGCCAATTTGTTATGTTTTTTCGGCAATACGAATCGTTTATTTCAAGCATACTTTGTTTATATATCAGACAGACAGGCCACATCATACCATAAAATAGAAAATAATATTTGTACAAAACCAAGCCTAATGAGGCTGTAAGCGTTGGAGACAATAATCAATAAACTGAATATAACTTAGGAACAGTAAATCATACAATAATAAACAATAGGTCAAAATGAAGCTTACAATAAGATGAATATAGATATAGATAAACTAGTTACCGAATAGTTATACAATAAGAGTGATAGTCCAATAGTAGGTCCTGCAAGTTACCCGTACTTATGTCTTCGCTACTACATAACAGGAAGGGAGACAGATATGAAGCAAATTTAATCTCAAGGTTTAAGGGATGATAAAGAGTGTATACACCTACGCCATTGTGATCGATTCTTAGCCATGTCACACAGAGTCTCCAACCATTGGTTACGATAGTCAAGCAGACCCCAACCAAGTAGTGTGCATCTATCAACATGGCTCAGACTAGAAGTTAGTGACTTCAGACACTGATGCCATGTTTTGGTTTGGCCGCCCCTAACTCTCTTCCAATCATCCCAAATACTAGTCAGCATTGAGCGTCGTGGTAATCAATGTTCAGGCATACGTAACATGTGGCCTAACCATCTCAGTCGATGAAGATTCATCACTTCATCAACTGATTTACCATCATTCCCTAATACCATGTGTCTAACCTCACTATTACTTACCCGGTGATCCCAGAAGATGCGAGCAATATTTCTAAGACATCCAAGGTCAAATGCAAGTAACTTACGAGTATCTTCTACTATTAATGGTCATGTTTCACAGCCGTAAAGAAGAACAGAGCGAGCAGTATACTCGTCCCGTTATGATAATCATTTGTTAAGATTTCAAGTCAATGTAGATTTTTATCGGTGAAATCACGAACTGATATTAAGTAGATCAATACTGAAGACCTGGAAGCACTAGACGGTTGTTTATCCTACTATGGGACTTCTCAGTAATATGGATCCACAACTCCGTACGAGAGAATCGGACCACGAATATTCGATTGTTCATGCGAACACTTAACCTGTAGACCACGCATTCAGCACCCAACTATATTATTGTATAACTTTAATCAACCTTTGGTCTTGCATAACTTTTTATCCACTCCCTGAGATGAATAACTGTCTCACACCTATCAATGATCCAACTCAATTGGCTACAACTCCTCATTACAATTCTAGGAGTAACATTAGATCTCAAACGATTGACTGGAAAATAAAGGATTACTGTTCTTTTGCATTGTAGGATCCACTGAGATCTAACCATAAGCAATTTGACCTGGTACACCATAACAGCACTTCATACTTGACCAAGTTAGTCACAACAGCAATACATTTTAACCTCCCATCTCGAAACCAATCTTACATTTATTTGTTTCCTTAAATAATCTTAGCTTTTGACTTTTCTTTGGAGATCTTCACAGATGCAAAACAGAAAAAGACCTATTAGCGAAATGACAACCAGTTAATTATCATGCCAATATTTTAAGTCCGCTTCATCAGTGTTTTAATCTAACGTACCGTCTGCTCATATAAACTATTTTCTGTTATGAGGCTCTGAACAATAAAATGAACAGGGACTGACTTTAACTGTTTCATTTTGTGAGTATTCATTCAAAGAGTAACAACGAATAGATCCTAATCACAAGTCACATATAACTGATAAAAAGATTTATATTCACAACATTGATTCACTATGATGATCAGATTTAAATGATAACATAATCCGATTACAAAATAGCAGCAAATGTAATATTGTCTAAAAAGTAGTGCCAATTTAGTTTTGAACGTTGCTACCAAGCTAAATGACCCAAACTTGTGGTGCGATTTGTTTAGTGTCAGATATTTGATGAGAAATAACAGGGAATAGACAACCACTGAACTTTTTTTACCAAATCGGTTAGTTCTTTATAAAGTGCATTGGCTTACATGACATCAAAGATCTAACATTTCGAATACATAATGTTTACACTACAAATGATTATGATATTCAACTTACACTATCTAGAGTATCTGATTTTTCAGGTTTTAAATTTTTCAGAAGTTTCGAAATTTTGCCAACATAGTTTGATATTTCTATTTGACGACTGATCTGTATTTTAATTAAAAAAGGTATAATATGCAAATAACCCAAATTGTTGTTTAAAAACAATACATTTCAATGGTTAACAGATGTGATAAAAATTAAACTTATGTAATTTTATGAAATGAAAGCTGAATGATAGTTAAATTCAACTTAGTATTGTTTGTTTGAATCTACCCATCGATTTGTTAGGACTGCAACTGGTCAGTCTCTAATTGGCATATGTGCATACTGTGCGTATTGCCTCGATATACCTTAATTCACAAGCAATTAAGGTATATAATTAAGGTGAATTAAGGTATATCGAGGCAATACGCACAGTATGCACATATGCCAATTAGAGACTGACCAGTTGCAGTCCTAACAAATCAATGGGAAGATTCAAACAAACAATACTAAGTTGAATTTAAACTTCACCCCATCGCACAAGCAAGTGGCTATCAGGACTCAGTGGCCGAGTGGATAGCGCGATGGCGTTTGAAGCGAGGGTACTGGGTTCGAATCCCAGAGTGAACATCAACTCTGAGATGCAGGTACATCCAGCTGACGAGTCCCAAGTAGGACGAAACGCGCGTCCTGGATTCCACTGCTAGCCACTATCCATCTTTGCTTATAGTGCTTGTCAATTAAGGCAATATCGAGGCAATACGCACAGTATGCACATATGCCAATAAGAGACTGACTAGTTGCAGTCCTAAACATCAATTGGAAGATTCAAACAAACAATATTAAGTGAATGTACACATGCAAGGTTTGTGCTCTTTTTGTAAATTTGAAGTTAATCGGATTCATTTAGATTTATGTATCATATAAGTTTATCTAATCTGATATATTAGATTAATATTATCAAAAGAAAATAACCACGAAAACTGAATAAGAACTTACCAATAATTTGAATGGATCAAGAAATTGATTATAATTAATATCACCATTTTGTAGACAAACTTTTAATCCCTGAATAAATTTTTTCTGTATAGTTTCAATTGAATTAACCGATGATCTTATTGTTACAATTTCATTGGTTATACGTTTATGTTTAATGAGATCTAATGACTATTAATGGGAAAAATAAAAATAAAATCTAAGATTCAATTTAAGAAAAGCATATCTACAATATTGTTAAGTATATTCAAGAAAAAAAGGTATTGAAGTATAAAGATGTTCAATCTTTCTTGTCGTTAAGGTTGATTAAAAATCAAAAATCACTAAGGTTGTAGTGCCGTGCTTCGTTAATCGCTCACCTTGATAACCGTCATAATTCTAATCTTAACGGCGCATCAAATCAGAAGGCAAAGAGAAGCAGCGACTACAGTTTATGTCATATAACTCAAGTCAAAAAGCTACCAGCACCTGAGCGAATATCAACGAGCGAGCAGCAAGCGAGCGCAAGCAACTACATAGGCAATTTATAGTCAAATTTAGTAAGGGCACAGCAAAACAAAGCAAAAGCTGACAATAGGATTTGAGTGCATACATATATGGGGAGGAGTATGAGTCATCGAATGATACTTAAGCAATCAACATTTCGGCTAGAGTGTCATGTGCTCTAGTGGTCATAACAGTACAAAGAATATGCAAATTGTTATTATCCAAATGACGATGTCTGTTTAGTAAATTATTAAAAAGAGCTTAACCAAAATTGACCATAATCGAAATTGATTGTAGGATGTTTGCTATAATGTGATAGTGTGTTAGATAATAAGTTTATAAATTCAGTTATTCATCATGATACTACTTAAAATGATTAATAAATATAATTAAAGTCTTAATAAATGAATGAATTAGGGTATTTGATTTTAGAATTGATAGCAATAGAATAGATAATATTATTTGATTAATTCAATTTCAATAAGAGTTACGTGACAAATAATTTTACTAGTTGAGATCATGAATCAATTGAAGCTAGACCATCACGGAAAGCCTGGAAGCACTGGACAGCCATTTCGTTTTATTGTGGGACTCCTCAGTTGTGCTTATCCACGATATTAAATAATTTCATGTTGAACAATTGTTTATAGTGGGATTCATAAAATATTTAATAAGAACTATAATATTAACAACAAGTAAAAAATGGTCGTGAAGGAAACATTACAGCTTCTTAAGAAAAGGAGGGCAAAACTAATGGAAAAGAAAATTGTTTAACAAATTATTTATGACTCATACAAATGTTGGCTATTCTAATGATTATGATAGGAGGAGTGGCTGCACAAATTGTTTATAGACACACAGATTGGGTTTATTGGGATAGATAATGATGTCTTCTGTTACATGCAAAAGACGTATACATTAAACATGCGGTATCTTTTGTGGGACCCACAGAAATTTTTTGGAATGTTTCCCTTTTATCTACCTGATGCCCTGTGTCAACCATATGAGCCAATATAGGCCTCTTAATTGATCTTACTAGTTTTTTACTTAACCAGGTAGGAAAATGTTCAGGAATACTGTGATGGATTCCCTTAGTGGTCCAACTAATGTGACTGGCTCCACAAGAGAGATGTCTCTCAGTATTTCCTGTTCTAATTGTCGGTCCATTGTAAAATATAGTGTACAGTTTTGTTACATTGAATGTGCTTCATACAACTTTTCTTACTCGTTGTGTTACTTATTCATTGACATACTTGTTTAGGAACCTTTATTTATCAGTTCGCGATTTACATTACTAAAATGCTATGCTTAACCCTGAAACCATACACCCTAGTTTGTTCATTTATTAAGACTTTTGGTTAATTATCACATAATCCACCCCTATCATTTAATTGTATTTGTCAATCATTTGGAATTATTATGATGAACGAATGAATTTGTAAACTTATTATATAACACTACCATTTCACTAGTTATTACTAAACAATTAGAGATAATTTAATGGTTGAATTCATGAGTCAATTAAAGCTAGACCACCATGGAAAACCTGGAAGCACTGGTTGGCTTAGGTTGAATTTAGACATTAGCTCAGCTCGTGAGACCGATAGGTCCTAGGTTCGAATCCTGCGAGCGGGATCGTGGATGCGCACTCTTGAGGAGTCCCATGCTAGAACGAAAAGGTCGTTCAGCTCTTTCAGGCTTTCCATGATGGTTTATTTTCAATTGATTAATGAATTCAACTATTAAATTACTAAAATCTCTACAAAAACCCCCTTCTAAAAATTTATAAACATTATCCATGATGAAGAACTCATTTAATAGGATTAATATTTATGCTTAAATATACGAAAGCCTTATCGTTTAATTTTTAAAGAACATTAACAAATGAGATTAATACGATGCTTTGTTAACAAATTTTTTAATTCAGAAAATATTTGCTAATTTACTTCTTCTTTTTTTCAGAATTTATTGATTATTTATTTGTAACTATGCTGTGTTGAGATGAACAAAATTTAAATTATTCACAATATTTAACTGTTAATATAATTAGATAGAAAACATCTTAACATCAAAACATTTTTGTTTTCTAGATATCTACCAATCATAAAATTATAATAGTCACTAAGTTATAGATTTATGTTACTATTTAATTCAACTTATAAGCTAATATGTCCAGTGAACAATTATTGATTATAGAATATTTCATAATTAAGATCATATTTTGATAATGAATTTATAATTTAAATGTTACTTTACTGTGCTTTATTTAAGGTGATATATATAACTAATAAATTCAAGTGAAGATCATGCGATTATGATGTAGGTTTGTTCTCTGAGCTGGATGGTTTGGTTGTGAAGCTTTCATCGTCCTTTTGAACAACATCATCAGCACAAACTTCAGGTAGAGAACAAACCTACATCAAAATCACCCACCTGAGCTACAAATCTTCTTCACTATATCATGTGATTATATAATAATTAATAAACAAATAAAGAAAACAAAATTTTGGAGGTGATTGAATGTTCTTATACACTACATATTTGTTGATTAATAATAATAATAAATGTATATCAATCCAAAAAGAAACAAAACAAAAAATAAATTAGAAGTTGACTTTAGTCTATGCATCAAAAACTTATAAGATTTAAATATTCTTGATTCAGTGCTTATCGATAGAGTTTTGTTCTCTGAGCTGGATGGTTTGGCTGTAGAGCTTACATCGTTCTTGTGAATGACATCATTAGCACAAACTTCGAGTAAAAGTGAATTGTTCAAAAAATTATGCAAAAACATAGGAATAAAAATCAAACCAATGGGAGATACAACCAAAATAAAGAAATAAACAATGACAGATTTAAGGTCAATAAGAACCAATCAACATCGAGGTGTAAAGGACAAGCAGTGAACCACATGTGGAGAAATCGAACACTCCACTTCTACTCAAAGTTTGTGCTAATGATGTCGTTTAGAAGATCGATGAAAGCTACACGACCAAATCATCCAGTTCAGTGAACAAAACTTCATCAAAATCATCTACCTGAGCTACAAATCTTCTCTACCATCTCAAAATCATATGAGCAGAGTTGATTCAGTTCATTTATGGTGGTAGTAAACTGAACTAAATCACTTATAATTACTTTTGTAAATATTTTTTAGTGAGATGAATATTACGTAACTCAATACTTAAAATAAATGAAACAATAAATAGTAAGCTTATGTATTTTTTTTCTATTTTACGCTTACACCTAATGACAAAAAAATATACTGAACATTTCTATCTCCAATATAAACAATTATACGCACGTACACTAGTGTCTCTGTTCAATTAAATATTTCTTCATACCAAACCATACAAAAACGTGTAAACCGTTACCGTTTTAATTTGTTCCAAAATCTTTAAATGTTGGCTTTCATGTTTAAGTAGGTAGTCCAAATGTGAACGAATTTTATTTGTGGTTTCCTATTAATTTGTGGAAAAAAAATTAAAATTATTATGTTTTATTCAGAGTACTAGAAATACCATTATTGAGAATTTTAACAACAAAATATTTCATCCCAATTAGTGACTAATCATAAAAATGTTGGGGATTTTGATGAAATGATTAAAGAGCTTAGTATTTACTGGCCTTTGAAATTGATTGATCACTAGGTAGTGACCAGTTTTATGTGTGCCAGGTCCTTCCTAATGCAGATCAAATTCTATCAACCAAGTTGCAATATGGCCATCAGTCTAGATGACTCGAGATAGCATGCACCATGTCAACAGGAAACGCTGAACATAGGTTTCATGTTATTTTGCATTCTTCATCAAAGCATACCTGTAATCTTGAGGAAACTGATGCTCTCTAACGGATTCAGTCCCATATCATCGGGCTTCACGGTCATAGACGTTACCGTTTAGCTATCCAGGGTGCGACTATCTCTCTGTAGATAAATGGTTTCTTGCCGACCATCTTCAGTCATCGCTTTACTTCGCAATGTAGTGCACGGGATGTTAGATTGCAACCTGACAAGTAAAATTCTATCAGCACTAAGAAGGACCTGATATACACCACACCGGTTACTACCCAGTCACCAGTCAATTGTAATTACTTCTCGGTCGTACAGCAAGTTATCTTGACTCATTTTTCTATTACCTTATTTTGTCCTTCAATGTGATCTGCACTTATCTGCTTTCAAAAAACTAACCTTTGTTGTTGAGATTTCTTCAAGGATTCATTAATCCATTTTATTTGCTGTTATTCACTACACTCAGAGAACTATAATTCTAACATTCATATTGTTCGAAAACAGTTTCTTACACAAAGTTAAATTAAATGAAGAATATTTCTAACTTCGCCTTTGTTCTGTTTTCATTTGGATCTTCTAAGTAATACCCATTCATGATTCTACACTTTGTCAAACGCAAAACGTTTAGATCTTACAGCTAACAAGATATCATCTACTCGCTTAACTGGATTATGATTTTTTCAAATGTAATCAACTAGCATAACAATTAAGAAATGCTATCATCTTGATTGCTTAACGAAATTGAAATCAAAATCAATCCCATCTCATACAAATATGATTGTATATATGTCGATGATCAAGAACTATTTCTGTGCTGATATATATGTATATGGAAACTTACAAACAATAATTGATGCACTATGTAGAATGTTACTAGAATAATTTTTAGGATGTTACCTTTATGTCCATGTAGTCTTCATTGTTCAACAATTTGATCTGTTCGCTTTCACTGACTAGATTTACAATTTATGAAGAAGAAAAAGAAGTAAATTAATGAAATTATTATTTTTATTTAGTACTTGAAACATACAATCTCAGTGAATAAAATCGAGTGATTATAAGTTGAGTGGCAGTCAATTATTCAATTTCTAAATTTTTAGTTGACTATAAATAAATCTGAACTCCGCCTGTAGCTCCTCCAGGGGCTACTGCCGGTCCCAAGCCCGGTTAAAGAAGGAGGGTTGGACATGGGGTTAGCGACCCCATCCCGTACAAAATCAACTCGCTAAAAAAACGCTAACCAGAAAAAATCATTCAAACCTTTCAAACTCTGCCCTGGGAGTAGAAGGAATAATTATGACGTCTCATGATGAAAGCCGAGTTCCTTCGGAAGTCATGAGGCCGATGCACTTTCTTACAACCAGAGCAGCACCCATGGACCTCCCAGTCGATGTTGGCCCACCAACAATTGAAGAGATCAGCATGGCCATTAGACAAATCAAGAGCGGCAAAGCAGCGGGACCAGACAACATCCCGGCAGAGGCACTGAAAGCAAATGTAACAGCAACTGCCAAGATACTCCACATCCTCTTCGGTAAGATTTGGGACGAAGAACATGTACCAACAGACCGGAAAGAAGGACTTCTGATCAAGATACCAAAGAAAGGCGATCTGAGCAAGTGCGACAACTACAGGGGCATCACTCTCCTCTCAATACCAGGAAAAGTCTTCAACAGAGTATTGTTAAACAGGATGAAGGATTCCGTGGACGCTCAACTTCGAGATCAACAAGCTGGATTTCGTAAGGATAGATCGTGCACAGATCAAATCGCAACTCTACGTATCATTGTGGAACAATCAATCGAATGGAATTCATCACTGTACATCAACTTCATCGACTACGAGAAGGCATTTGATAGCGTGGACAGGACGACACTATGGAAGCTTTTTCGACACTACGGCGTGCCTGAGAAGATAGTCAATATCATACGTAACTCCTATGATGGACTAAACTGCCAAATCGTCCACGGAGGACAACTCACCGACTCGTTCGAGGTAAAGACCGGTGTTAGGCAAGGTTGCCTACTCTCACCCTTTCTCTTTCTCCTGGTCATCGACTGGATTATGAAGACGTCAACATCTGGAGGAAATCACGGGATACAGTGGACAGGCAGGATGCAGCTTGGAGATTTAGACTTCGCGGATGATCTGGCTCTTCTATCACAAACGCAACAACAAATGCAGGAGAAAACGACCAGTGTAGCAGCAGCCTCAGCAGCAGTAGGTCTCAATATAAACAAAGGGAAAAGCAAGACTCTCCGATACAATACAATATGCACCAATCCAATTACACTTGACGGAGAAGCTTTGGAGGATGTGGAAATCTTTACATATCTGGGCAGCATCATTGATGAACACGGTGGATCAGATGCAGATGTGAGGGCGCGGATCGGCAAAGCAAGAGCAGCATACCTACAGCTGAAAAACATCTGGTGCTCAAAACAATTGTCAACCAACACCAAGGTTAGAATTTTCAATACAAATGTCAAGACAGTTCTTCTGTATGGGGCGGAGATGTGGAGAACTACGAAAGCCATTATCCAGAAGATACAAGTGTTTATTAACAGCTGTCTACGCAAGATACTTCGGATCCGATGGCCAGACACTATCAGCAACAAGTTACTGTGGGAGACAACAAACCAGATTCCATCCAGTGGAGGAAGAAATCAGGAAGAAGCGCTGGAAGTGGATTGGGCACACCTTGAGGAAATCACCCAATTGTGTCACAAGACAAGCCCTCACATGGAATCCTGAAGGTCAAGGAGAAGTGGAAGACCAAAGAACACATTACGCCGAGAAATAGAGACAGACATGAGAAGAATGAACAAGAACTGGAAAGAACTAGAAAAGAAGGCCCAGGACAGAGTGGGTTGGAGAAAGCTGGTCGGCGGCCTATGCTCCATTGGGATTAACAGGCGAAAGTAAGTAAGTAAGTAATAAATAAATCTGAGTTCACGTTCTAACTGTGATTCATACACATTAACCATGGTTTCTAATCCGAAATCGTTGTCTAGTAAGCTACAGTTTCACTATGGTTTCAAATATCAATTTGCGAGAAATTAAAAACGCTGCTTTTTACAATAACTGACAAACTGTTTTTCTGGTACAATCTCGACTTGTTACATTGTCTGTAAGACGTACCGTGAAGAAATGTTAATTACATTTTGATAATACTCCTAGTGCTAAAAGTGATTCTGTTTATTATTTGATTAAACCTCAACTATCTGAATCGAAAAAATTTAATATACGGTCAGCTCAAATAAAAATAATCTCTCATGAAATTTGTAGTTTTTCATTTATTAGTAGAAATTATACATCCATATGAGACTATTGACTTTCTTTCATGGCTTACAGTAATAATTTCTTGTGTAAATCACTACAGTTGATTAAACAATCAAAACAATATGTATTTCAAACATTATACCTTTTAAACAAATGATAAATACTTTAATTTATAGTTGAAATCATGAGTCAATTGAAGCTAGACCACCATGGAAAACCTGAAAGCACTGGACGGACGTTTCGTCTTATTGTGGGACTCCCAAGCAGTGCGTATGAACGATCCCACTTCGCGAGATTCGAACCTAGAAACCTACCAGTCTCTTTAATTTAGTTGCTTAGTGAGTAACTACCTGAGGTTTTTATAAATTAGTAACATTACTTAGGCTTAACTTGATAATTTCAAATAAATTAAGTATTGGTTAGATTGTTATTGATAAAATAATATATTTTTAATATTTCAATCAGTAGAAAAATTGAACTTAACTGACGTTTCATGACTCAATGTAAGCCACTTCTTCAGAGAACAAATAAATAAATAAAATAGACCCACGTTTTGTTTATTTATTCTCTGAAGAAGTGGTTGACGTTGTGTTACGAAACGTCATGAAATTTAGAAATTTAATTTTTCTATCCAATGAGATGTTACAAATATATTATTTTTATCGATAAATTCAATAGATAGTAACTGGATTTTATGTCCAATAAAAATATCAACATTGTCATCTTGGTACATTTAACCTGCAAGTCTTCAAATATTAGAATAAACTATAGATTTCTATACTTCTTATTATCCGTTGTAAGAAATATCTTGGGTTATACTGTAAATATCTTCAAGGAAATCGAATGTATCGCAATAATGCTTTAGTAAATAGACTAAGGAAAAATATTGATTAAGAAAGATATGAAGTTGAAAAATAAACTACCAGATAGAATCAAATCATATAATTCAAGTCAACTGCACTTACAACAGTTATTGGCATAAAGTTAAATATGGAAAAAAACAGCTGACTAGTTTATGTACGCATAGTAACAGAAATTTTCATTGGAATTTTATCTTTTTTTTAACACCAAACATTGTCACATTCACATATTCATGACTTATTTTAACACTTATAGCATGACAACACAAAGCGTAATGATGAAGACATTGGAAACAAATGTTCACCTAAATATTATTATTATTATTGTTTTTTAAAAATAAACTTACAAGATTCATTATGACTAAGTAATTCATGTATGGTTTTATTTTGTGAATCAGACAATAAATCCGATGGTAATAATTCAATGTTGACTGGAGTAAATTTCAATGGAATTGGTGCATCTGATATAGAAAAATGACGATTTACAGATCTAAAAATTTATAAAAGATTTAATAGGAATAATGAACTTTGACGTTATACTTGAATCTTTTTTGATAAATTATGTTATAATTCTAAACTAAAAATGATTTATATGATATCTACTCACAAAAAAATGAAGCAGATCTATGTCACTTAAACTATAGTGTACACAAAATAAAATTTCATTTGATTTGATTACTTTTGTGGTGTGTGCTACTGATGTTGACAGGTATAAGTAGTATGTATCATCAATTGGAAGTGAAAGGTCTGATGGCAGAGGGTTAAAATGATCGAAGAAAAGAGAATGAGGACAGAGAATGATTGATGTGGAAACGAAGGAACAATCAAGTATTTATTGTATGGTTTACAGATTTTATTAAGATATTCTGTAATTTTGTGTTCAGATACATTCGATTGTCCCCAATTGTGTTTTCTTTCACTACACTTCTACATAACTACTTAAAAATTTGTTTATGCGACTATTCATCTTTTTGTATTGACTTCTTATTCTAAATAATAGAAATTAAGTCTATAACATTTTTTTTGAAAAAAATAAACTTATCATTTGTTCAATGAATGCAACTTGATTAGCGTTTTTTTAGCGAGTTAGTTTTTCTACGGGATGGGGTCGCTAACCCCATACCTAACCATCCTCCTTAACACGGGCTTGAAACCGGCAGTAACTCTAGAAGAGCTACAGGCGGAGTTTCAATAAATGTAAAGTGTTTCTAAATTGTAAACGAAAAATTGTTTCAGTTCATATTGCATACATGACTAATTGTTTACTTTCGTGTTGGTTATGATGAAGAAGATATTGGTGACTTTGCATTCATTATGCTAAATAATTTATTTATGAAATTTTTATTATTATTATTATTACTATTTTCAACATCATCACCATGGACGTTTTTCCGATATTTTAAAATGATAAAATATTATAATCTATACCCTCTTTAACATCTCCGCCTGTAGCTCCTCGGGGAGGCTACTGCCAGTCCCAAGCCCGGGTAAAGGAGGAGGGTCGGGCATGGGGTTAGCAACCCCATCTCGTAGAAAACCAACTCGCTAAAAAAATCGCTAACCAGAAAAAAAGATTCAAGTAAGTAACCCTCTTTAGCATACTGCTAACAATATGAATAACTATTCACTATTCTATCATTTCTTGTTATAAGACAAGTTTTCAGTTGTCATATAGTGATTATTAAAAGCATCATTCATATTAGATTGTTGCAACATTTTGATTCAGATGTACCGCATCATTTATAAATATATATATTTATAACTATTGTACATTTTTAAGTAAGATTTGTTTAAACTGATTCATTGATTATTTATAAATATCATCGTTATGACAGATGACTAGAGTGTTCCTTATTTGTCAAAACATACATTGTATATATGTATTGAAATGAATCAATCTTAGAAATTATTTTTAAAAATAAAAAAATTTTTGTTTCTTAAATAAAACATATTGATCACATGATTAAATATGTTTTCTTTTTTTTTGAAAAGAAAAATCAATATTTTTTTCGTATCAGTAAATAATTGAAAATTACTTTGCCGAATGACAATCAAAGTGTGTACAATAATTTTGATGATAATATTAAAAAAAAAAATTAGGTTACATTTACTTGTCTGTATATCTTCCCATAAAAGTTTTTGATGTACCTTTAGGTCTGTAGGAATTCATAATATAAACACAATAAGACTACTAATTTTTTTTTCTTCTAAAGAATAGTTTGTTGACAAGCAAAGGATAAATTAATTTTAAGCAATATTAAACATTTACAATGTCAATATTTTGGTAATGGTTAATACTTTTTATTATTAATATTTATAGATGGATTTTAATCAGTTACCATTAAAGAAACACTTCAATATAATTACAAGATTTAAAAAAAATTCGGATTGTGGCTAACTTTAGTACCAGCAATAGAGAACTATTGATCTTTACTAACACAATCATACACATTGAAAAATTAGTGGCTACCCGGACTAAGTATATTATTATTTGAAGTATTTGAAGTGTTAGGTAGTCGGTTCAAGCCTTATTGTGAAACATTGACAATGAGATGAAGGTATATAAAGTTGAAGAGTCGCAAATAAGATAAATAGCTCATTCAGGATTGCACTACTGATCACAAACTAACTATTATAATCAGTAAAATGTTGTTTCATGATGAATAGTCTAGGGAACTTCCTTAGTTAATGACTCGATTTTTCAATTATACACATGTTTTTTTAAACATACATTCGGTAGCTTAAAACAATACGTAACACGATATTATGTTTCGCTAATGAGATCTGCATTTCCTCACATATATTTATCTACAATGCCTAACGTTTTCCATGTCATATTATTGTCGAAAGATTGTGTTTTACGATTATGATATTTGAAGTTAAATAGATCTTAACCCTGGCGGAAGAAACCCAGTTGTCGCCATTCAAAAATACTTGAAGTGAGATAGACTTCTACAAAATAAGTCATTTGAATCAGGATGACAACTAGCTAAAACATATTTGTCGTCTAGAGTTTTTCAACAAGGTAATCCCATGGTTTGATGCCGAACTACAAGGGTACCCTTCGCCACTGATATCTAATGAAATTGTGATTAAAATAGTCACCCTTTGATGAAAAGGGTAATGTTTATCTTATGTCACAATGTGGGTGGAGATGGAAGAGGAAATAATGTACTTCGAACCGAAGGCTTCTTAAAAACCCAAATATATCTGTAAGGCAGTAGAAGCATAATAATAATGAGCTTCGAAAATAGAACATATTAGCTATATATTCCTTTCTAGTTTTCAACAGGATCCCAGCTGCTATCAATTTATAATCAAAACTATCTTTAGAGGATTAAACATCAGTAATTTCTATCAAGGAGTATATAAAACTGATAAATTGAGTGGCATGTCCTGGGTTCGAATCTTGCGAGGCGGGATCATGGGTGCACACTGCTGAGGAGTCCCATAATAGGACGAAACGGTCGTCCAGTGCTTCCAGGTTTTCGATGGTGGTCCAGCTTCAATTAATTCATGATCTCAACCAATAAAATAACTGTAATATCCACAAAACCACGTCTAATATTAACAAGTTTCTGTTAAAATATAATTTCCAAAAAAACTATACAGAATTTCAACACAGTTGTCCTAAAAAGCTACACAAATAACCACCTGGTAAATTGGTTCGAAATTCAGATATATGTATTACAAATATGGATTCCAGTAAGTCATAATAAAACGTAGTTAAAATCGGTTTTCATGATTAGATTCACTGTCTCATCTCTATCCTTCATCCAATAATACGAGAATTTGAAGCCTAAAAGCCATAGACCGTGAATCCTATTGGACAAGTGCAACTGGAAGATCCAAACCTATAATTTTTATTGGGACTTATAGAGCAGCAAACAAAAACATTAGCTGGTTATATGACACCAAGCATCATAAACTTGACTAGTCTAAAGGCCTACAATTTGTTTCCCGAACTAAAATATTATCTGATAAGTCTAACCGAATATAAAACTCAGTACGTAAATTTCACTTATTCCAATATGTTTTCAAATATATAAACACAAAATATGAAAACATACACTATTGTTATTTTCATTGTATTTAAAGATTCTAGAGAGGGAGATGAAGAGCTTTTCATTTCTGTTGAAATTTTAGATAACTTGGATTGTTCACCATTGTCATTATCACCATCTAGTGGACTTGAAAATTCCTGTTTAAGAATTGTAATATCTTCATGTTTTTTCTTAACTTTGCTTTCTGTCTCTTTATTTGATAATGTTGATATGTTAGGGGTTTGTTTAAATTCAAAATACATTTGATGTCTTATATATATATATATATATATATATTCGTGTAGTGTTTGAATTTAGCGCTGTATCTTTCTAGAATTCTATGTAAGAAATAGAACGTTTAAAACTCATCTCATTATGTTTATAACAAATAAGTTTGTTTGTTTGAATATTTGGAGTGTTTCAAAGTCATAAATAAGCGAGTTCATACAATTCAATATCACCAATCTGTTGAACATTTTCATAATTTTGTTGAATACATGATTTATATTATTTAAGACCTTGGCAATTATACATAACAATGTTCTTACACCTTCATAAACATTACAATTAATGAACAAAGTGATTATATTTGAGTAGTATAAATAGACAAATAATCATTTAACTGACGAACTTAAAGTTTACGAAATAACTGAAAACATTTTAGATTATCCTTACTTATAAGTGTTGATTTTTTTAATTATTTATTATTATCAGCTTTATTCAATATTATATTCTTGGTAAAATATAGAGTTCTCAGCATAAAATATCTCAGCAAGTATCTTAATTATTGATTCTGACGATAAATATTGAGTATTCGCCAGTCAGAAGTTAGCGTTTCAGATAAGATGGTGCACGCAGTGTCGAGCCACCTAGACTAGTGGTCATATGGCAACTTGATCGATAGCATTCGATCTGCACTAAGAAGAACTTGACACACATGACATTGATCACCACCCAGTGATCAACCAATTGTGGTTAGCGTTTCAAGAATCGACATCTGATTAGTGTACATTCATTTTGATGCATATCACCAGCAATCAAAATGTCTCGGTGATTTTTTAGTAACTTGTACAGAGAAAAGTTATACACTTTTCATAAAGGCACTTGAATAGGATAACTGGTTAACAAACATAATGATGTGTTAAAACAAATAAAACAATTTGTTAAAATATCTAGATGGCAGAAACAGATAGCTCATATACTCAAGCAGGCAGCCTACTGCTTAAACATTGATTTCGTTTACAGATGACAATCACTTAAATGACTACGGAGAAACAAGAAATTAGACCATTGTTATATTCTAGTTAAAATCTAAACATAACGCCATATCAAATCTATTTCATTCAAGAAGTTTAGGATTTTTTTCAAATAATATATTTACGAAATACTATTAGAAGTAGTTAATTTGGTGGTGGCAATATATAAAAGATAGGTTGTATATAAGGATATAGGAAAGAAGACAGATATGAAGCAAATTTAATCTCAAGGTTTAAGGGATGATAAAGAGTGTATACACCTACGCCATTGTGATCGATTCTTAGCCATGTCACACAGAGTCTCCAACCATTGGTTACGATAGTCAAGCAGACCCCAACCAAGTAGTGTGCATCTATCAACATGGCTCAGACTAGAAGTTAGTGACTTCAGACACTGATGCCATGTT